CTTGCAATCTATATGTAAACATTGAATTCCCCTGCGAAGCTTTACGAGTGCGCCCCAAAGACAAATAAACGCTATTTTGGGTGAAGTTTAGTGCTTCAACAAGCAATCAGTGCGAACGGCAACAGCTCCGTTGAAAGACTTGAACATCACGCTGAACACTTTTTGGACTGCTTTCCCAGTGACAGGGAAGAGGAGCAAAATTTCGTCCAGTCAAGCATCCCTCAGATGATCTTCATGATTATTCAACAGAATTAGCATGTAAATTCAATTTATTATTCTTTCAACTGAATGGTTAATCAGTGACAGAAACAGTGGAAAATGTCCATGAAAAACAAAACCAGAGCGATGAAAGATTGATTTGCACCACATGTGATTGGAATTTAATGGAAAATCGAGTGGGAAAATTTGAATTATTGTTGAGTCGACGCACTGTTTATTTATCCTCGAGTCAATTCCAAATTAATTGTTATCCGAAATTTGATTTATTTTTTCACTCGTTCGCCCCCGCGCGAAATAAATCGCTCGGACGATGAATTTTCACACATTTCCCGCAGTGGGAAAATTTATAAGAACCTCTGAGATTCTCTGCTTCGAGTCAGTTATTAATTTCCGGCCATAAGAATTTCATTAAACACGCCCCATCTCGGCTCCACGGGAAATTGGATAAGATTTTTATGGCACGAGTGGTTGCCTGAGACAAGAGGGGCATTTTTCTACAATGTCCAAAGTGCCTTTTTCAACACGTTCTTTAAATAGAGCGTCTTCCAATGCCAGAAGTGCTCTTGAAATTCAAAACTATTTCGATTCCCTGTGTTTAGGCCTAATAAACATGGATTTGCTATTGAAACAACATAATTTGAGATAAAAAAGTTGCGTGAATTGAATTTTCTTTCAACACACTTTTTCAACTAGCAATCAAATATTTAACCATTTAATTATAGAAGTTATCTGGTGATTGTTTCTTCGCGTTACACTTCTTATCTTACGCCTGATGACAGGAGGCGCTCGATTTATAAAATGTAGACAGAAAATCTCTCTATACTTCTATAACAGTTGGAAAGGAAACAACTTTCGTAGATCCTAGATATGAATTTCAATGGCTTAACCTCATGAAACGCTAAATGGCATAGAGCTTTTTCCCATAAGAATTCAAAAAGTCAGGTGCAAATTGGAATTGTGTGCCTCGTGTTGGTATAATGTTAACCACAATGTTCATTAATTTCAACCATTTCCTGCAACTCTATGCCAAGGACAAATGTCCTGCGAGAAGAAACTCATTAAACGACCGTACTTGGTCGGGACACCATTTTTCATTCACACAAATTACAATTTTATTGCGTGCTGCTCATATTTTTCTGTAACATTCTCTTTGTTCTTTGCACGCTGTTTTCTTCCGCCTAAAGAAATCCAACCCCAAGAGGAAATTGCTCAACCGGCAGTGTGAGGTGGATTAGTGAGAGAGAGGGAGAAGGGGAAAGTGAGCAAATTGTGCGATAATTTGTTGTGTAGCCCAAACTTTCTTTCAAGTTCAACGCAAAGAGCAGAATAATCGATGAATTTTGTGTGTTTGTAGTGATAAATAAGTGGTAAAAGAGCACGGAAGTGCGTAAGAAGGTGAGCAAGACGTCATCGTGGCTGTAAATCAACTGGCGAGGGTGTTGAAATGCATGGCAAACCACTGTGATCCAATGCCGAGATATTCGCCCGAAGAAGACGGTTGAGTGTGTGAGAATGCGAGGGAAGCCTTAACGGGCAGCAGAGAGGATCACGTTCCGTCGGGAAGGAAATTGATTAGCTGTCGGAGAGTGTCTCCTTATCATCTTGGGGCTCCGCAGGGCGAGAAACAGGACACCAAAATGGGTTACATCCACTCAACGGCGGACTATCTCAATATCACGGGATTGTACGAATACGACTCATCTTACTACGACCGTGGCAATGACTCCTACTACGAGTACACGAACTTAACCAGTGTTCCTCCGTCGCATGGAAATTATACGTGAGTAATTCCTTCTTTATCTCTTATCTCCACATTATGACGCTTTCGGTCCTAAAAGAGAAAAATTACATTAGCTTCATAGGGATCCAGGCTTCTTATCTGATTTAAATACGAAGCTTTGATGAAGTTTACTTTAATATTTGGAAACTAGTGGAATTTTAAGTGAATTATCTTGGTATTTTAATTGAATCCATTTGGATTGTATTGAAAATGGCTCACATTCAAGAAATATTATTGTATTGTATATTAAAAATTTTACGTGTTCATAAACTTTTTAAACATTTCCATTACAACTAACCATAATTTAGATGTTGTACTGTTTCGGTTGGAAAAGCTATAAGACTAATTTTATATACTTTTCTTTTTGTAATCATGCTGAGACCGAAAATTTTCCTTTTATCACCTCTTTTATTATCGCTTCAACTAGTGTGTATATTACAAACGTAAATGGGTAAAACTGTGGGTCAATTTCCCGTTGAGCCCATAAAGAAAACGACAATCAACCCTTTTGCCCACTTCTCTAGTGTACTTGACCTCAACTTTGGCTGAATTGTGGAAGCAACATAGCAAATATATCACGCAATAAAAAGCATTTGCCTCCCTTTCAGACAATCACATTTTCGTGACAAAAAAAGACGGAGTGGTGAAATAGCTTCGAAACCGCACAAAAACGAGAGATGTGGAAAATGTGATGAAGTTTATCTGATTCTTGTGTGCAAATATTGTGAAGCTTTTGTGCAAAATTTGGTGTCCCTCCAAAAAAAAAAACAGAAAGATGAAATCAACAAAAAGCACCTCGAAAAGTTCCTCCATCAGGAACTTTTCAATCCTGAAAACTAACTCACTGTACTCACAGAATAAATGGCGTGAAGTGCATAAACAGTGAAAATTTTAACAAACCCATGTAATATGTTCCAAATTGTGTGCACAGAATGTTAAATGAAGAGATTTGTTCGACGCACGTAAACACTTCAATCACGCCATCGAAACTCCATTTAGAGATGCTCCGTGACGAAAATGCGAGGCTTTTCCACTAATAACGTAATTGTTCGGCCATTGAAATGGAAAGTATGTAATTAAGAGTCGGAAATTAACTTGGGAGAAATTATGACGATAACTGAAAATCTATATTTAAGTTTGTAAGAGCAGGAGTGAACTATTAAATTATGCTAATAAATTGCTCAATTAGACTTTTCGCGGGGTAACATTGAAATCTGCAATAGAGCTCAAAGTGCGCTGAATTGATAGAATTTTAACACTTCTGCCTCCATAATATTTGAATAGTTGATGAGGAGTGTCATATAAATGTTGGCAGCTCTAGTGGCAGTTATAAAGACTTAATAAACCATTCATTCCTCATTATTTATTCACGCTCATTTGAAGGAATTCCACACCGTATTTGGCGTGGAAAATTTGTGGCGAATACATGCGCCAGAAGTTTCATTAGAATTTCAAGTTCCAATTAAATTTTGAGTTGTGTGAAAGTATATTAAGTTTTCTTTGATTAAATTTAATTTCAACTCTCATAGTTTCACAGAACTGATATGAAATTATTGCGCGATTTAAAGCAAATACTCTTAAAGAGCGCAAATTATTATTCAAATTAATATGAGCTTATCATTTCCAAATGACATTTCTAAAATTGCGTGCAGCATTTTATATGCACTGTACTTAATAATACATAAATTCATTCCTAATTTACCATAGACAAAGAGCAAATGGATCTGATAGTTTAAAATTCAAAAGAGACTAACTAATTTGAAAGTTCGTGTGTGAGAGTTTTGGGAAAGTTTGCTGCGGGAAAATGTTCTGAAATACTTCCATTAGAAACTGAGACAGATTACAAGTAATTGAGTGTGGAAATTCCAGGAGTTTTCCCATTTCCTCCCTCGTCAAAATTGTTTTATCACGTGAGACATTTATTCATTATTCATTGCATTGCATTTAAAGTACTCTAACAGAAAATGAAGTAAAGAACTTAAATGGCAATTTGTTGAATATAAATATTGCTGTATAGATGATTAATTCGAAGCTTAAATATTTCACTTTAATTTAAGTTGACTATCGATTTTTACAAGAGAGAGAGAGAGTCCTGTAAAACAATAACTTTATTCACTGCATTTCCATTTTATTTTATTCTTTATGGGCAAATACAAATATTTGTATATCTATTATTGCACCAATCAATTGCATATGCATTGTATTAGAGATTTATTCGCCGAATGGATGCGAGTAATTTTAAACTACACATTTGTCCAATTTGTGTGTGCGTAAAAGCTGACATTGAAAATTGCATTGTCAGACGAGTGCTATTGACTGACAATTTGCCAAGTGAAGCAAACGTTTTGAAGCACAAGCACAATTTAAATTTGCCACTCATCTCTCAAATTTGAGAGTTACATCAGTGGAAAATTCATTAGGAAGATTGGCTTAAGGAGTTATCATTTATGCAAATTTGATGAATGATTCTACCTCAAACAAAGCTCCATTGTGTCTCTATAAACATTAATTTCTTCCGAAGACTTTACAGAGGATATTCATCACTTAAGACTCATACAGAATTCAGAACAATTTGCCTCGAGACCGCATAAATGAATATTTCAGACAGCAGTAAAGTGTGCAGAATATTCATGGGGCAGGTGTAAAAAATTATCGCTAATTTGAATGTGATTTCCCTTACAATAAACGCACCCTGACTTTGTGTAAATTTAATAAGCAAAAATTGCTAATAAAATATGGGTGTAAACAGGGAACATACATTTGTACCAAGGGTGGATTGTTCAATTACTCTCTCTCTCTCTTTTTCTACCCCAAAAGACGGAAGACACAGCAGTTGATTGTGGAAGTCGTAAAAAAGTCGTGTGAGGCGTTTTTGCCGACGACAGAGAATTCAGAGAAACAGTGATAAGAATAAAAAACGATTGTTCATAATTTATCAGCGGAATACTGAGTCCCAGCTGAGTGTTTTCTGCTTCACATGACAGCACGAGTTGATTACTGAATGGATGGAGTGTGAGAAATTGAACAATTAAATCGCAATAAAAGGGAAGAAAAGAGCTAAATGGCCTAATTGTCTCTCTGCTGTCGCAAGATATTGCTGCTATGTTGCCATGGTCCACCCACATCATGTCGAAGCTGCTTTAATTCGCGAGTCAGAGTTGAGAGGCGAGACTTGAGATTAGTTTGGTGAATTTATTCGAGGTTCAGTGCCTGAATCTGATCCCATATCTATAAACCTTCCCAACTTTGCATATAACAAAAGGGGATGACTTAATGGAATTCTTGTCGCAGTGATGACTACAACTTCATTCTACCGCTGTGGCGTCAGATCCTGTGGAGCATTCTGTTCGGTGGAATGGTAATTGTGGCCACGGGAGGCAATCTAATCGTCATATGGATTGTGCTGGCCCACAAGCGGATGCGAACGGTCACCAACTATTTCATAGGTATGGAAACATTGGAATTGTTGCTCCCTCAGTGACTTCTTCAATGCAATTCCCTCGAGTGTGTCACCCCAGTGGCATGTGGACGCCATGCTCGGGGGGATTAATTGACGGTTGATGCATATGTAGAATAATTTGTTTAGAGGTCCCAATAATGGGTCACTTTCACCCCTTCTCTGCACGCAGTGAATCTCTCCATTGCGGACGCCATGGTCTCCACACTCAACGTCACCTTCAATTACACGTACATGCTAAACGCTCACTGGCCCTTTGGCACCATTTACTGCAAGATCTCTCAGTTCGTGGCAATCCTCAGCATCTGCGCATCCGTCTTCACGCTTATGGCAATTTCCATAGACAGGTGAGTTGTTTTTCGCAATTTTCAAAAGTGTATTTTCAAGTATTTTTAGAAACAATGCAGACAAATCAATCGTGATATCAGTCACAACAAGAGAAAGAGAGACTGAATAATTCAATTTTCGTCTTTTTCAATTCGCTTTTTGTAATGCAAATTGTATGTTATATGTAGAGAAACAGTGTGGCTTCCAGAAAACCCTTGTTACTGAATATTCTCTACCGGGGGAAAGAGTTGAGTCATAATTCACTAGTAATGCATATTAGACTTTTACATGATACCATTAGCTAAATTCTGATTTATTTTTATAGAGAGTAACGACCTTTCAAGTCTCTCAAGTAGGGTAATTTCAATGGGATTTCACTTCTCAGACACCGTGAACTTTGAAAGCATCACGTTCTGTCGTATTTTATTTTTGCTCAAATCTCTCTCCCCATATTATAGTGCTCAGTAAATTCGAGTTATCTGGTAATTTCATCAAATTATCAGGGCTCATTTAGCAAACTCATTTGCAGCTCAAGGGGCGTGAGTAACCCTTTGACCGTTACACTTCTCCGCTGATTATCTACGAAGAAATTCTGAGGGTCACGGAAGTAGTCGAGCATCCGTCTGAAGTTCAGACTCTTGAACTTTGTGAAAGTGTTTTGGCAATTTTCGCACGCATAATAGGAATTTATTGGTGGCAATTTCTCCCAATTGATAAACCCCTAATACCTCTATAATGGGCGTAACAAATAGCAACTTCGAGGCATCAACAGGCATAACAAAGCCATAAATCTGTGTATCATCATTTTTCACAAAAAAAAACCTCCACACACTTTCAACAGCGCGGCAGGGCGAGATGGAAGTGTCTCAGCAGGAGACAGGGATTCTTCCCTACATCATCTTTTCTTTTGCAGATACATGGCCATCATGAATCCCCTGCGACCGCGTATGGGAAAGCGCACAACGCTGTGCATCGCAGCGATTATCTGGATAGTGGGTGTCATCCTATCGTGTCCAATGCTGGTCTTCTTCACCACCTACGACCAGCACCTACAGGAGGGCGAAGTGAGAGTGGTGTGCTATTCAGAGTGGCCGGACGGACCTACAAATCACAGCTTTCAGGAGCACGTGTAAGTCCCCGACAGTCGTCTGCGGAAGAGCCTCAACAGCTCTTCCCTCACCCATTCAATTTAGTTTGTTTTTTTTCCTTCCTGCGTAAAGCACAGCCAATTTCGTCCCTGGTATTCCAACGAAAACAGTAGTATTTCTCCCTTTATCTCAATTTTTTTCTCTTGTCTCTCAACAGAGTTGGAAAGATGTGAAGTGGTTATTAAAGTTTTCGATAAATGCCAGAATTTATCATTAAATTATTTGTTCGTTTCCTTAATAGTGGAGAATGAATTGAAGATAAGAATTACGTTTCTGCAATATTGAATCTTTTATCTGAAGTCTGCAATGCATGAAATCTGACCTCTGGAAAAGGTTGTGTTCAAGTGAAATAGAAGAGAAACAGAGAAAGTGATCAGGCTTGACAGTTTTTCCATTCTTTTGAGAACCTTGAGAATTTTTTTTTCGCTATACAATATTTTCTCAACATTTCCCTCGCTCGTGCCTTTCTCTTTTAAATAATGGAATAAGACACCTTTTCTTCTTCTTTCCCACCACATCTAGATACAACGTCGTCTTCATGTTTCTAACGTACTTCCTGCCCATCGGCTCAATGACATTCACATATGCCAGGGTTGGGCTTGAACTTTGGGGCTCGCAGAGCATAGGAGAATGTACTCAGCGGCAGCTGGAGAACATCAAGAGCAAGAGAAGGGTGAGTGTGCTGAATAAATACTTGGTTTCACATCGAATTCCACTGTCCCACCCACGGATGGGTGGATTTTTCAGCCTAAAAAAATATATTCTCCACCAATTTGATTTCCCACTCTCAAGCGAAAAACATACTTTCTTGCACAAAAATACTCCTCGATATCTACTTTTACCCGTTGAATGTGTTTATTTTAAGGGATTTCCGATCCGACTCGGTTGGAAATCAAAGGATTTTCCCCATACATTTGAATTAATTATTTGTTTGAAATCGAAAATCGCAGTTTCACTCAGCAATCTTGTTCAATCTTCTTTTTTTTCTATTGATGGATGAGAAAAGGGATTCATCCGATTCATCACTCAAAGAGCAAATTGTATATTGATTTGTAAGCAATCTTGTGATCTTTCCTTCAACACAAAAAAGGACGATAGAAAAAGGTTTAAAGAACATCAACAATTTAAGACACAGATTATGGATTTATATCGCAATTAAAAATTATTCTTTATGTGGTAATTATCTAATTTGAATACCTAAAATTCTTAAACGTATTCATAATCGCATGGTTAAGTTCAATTTTATTACATCTGTACGTACAGCTTCTATCTTAGATGGAAAGAAATTGAGTGAAATCGTTTTGTTGAACCTTTTTGCGCTCTTTTTCTCCACGTGGCAGAAAAAAACGATTTTTCTGTCGATAAGAATTCTTTGGCCAGCTTTGATTAATTGATTGTGAGAGTAAAGGAGTGCTCTTGAAAAATTAATTTGAACTCAATCTTGAAGGGGAAGTGAAGAGTGCTTCCCGTCTGCAGTGATCGAAAATGCTCACGATGGGCAAATTTATCACACCATTAACCGAGGGCATTATGCCGAGATTGTTCCATCTGTTTGCCCAATTTCGCGGAATAACATTCCGTACCGTGGCAAAAGCGTCTGAGAATGAAATATGGGTGTTGTCCTTATTAATTTAATTCCCAAAGAATATCTCTCGCATGGCGAGCAATCAGTTGTCTCAGCGTTATGGCACAACATTATACCGCTCGGGTGATTTTATTCCATATTTTTGGTCCATCAGCTCGCCCACGCTCACAAGAGGGAGATTCAGAGGCGATAATGCCGAACAGTAATGACAATGATGAGTTGTGTGAGATAACAAAAAGGCGCGCGCAAATATATATTTTCACTGACGATCCAATTTGCTCCAATTTGGCCCACCACCAAAGAGGTGGGATTTGTTTATGAATTTCACCCTTCTCATGCAGTGAAATGCCTTTCACTGACATGCTTTTCATGCTGTATTTTCCTTGTTAATTCTCTTTTATGTTTTTCTGTCTCATCTGCCCAAAAAACATCACGTCTGACCAGTTTATTTATGGCAGATTCACCAATTTTCTGCACAAACACAACATTTCAGTTCAGAGCCCCGCGGGTAATTTGTTGATAAAAATTCCTTAATAATACAGTGTGTAAAAAATTGCAAACATTTTAACTCTTTCGTGAATACGCGCTTGTGTTGAGCTTTTGTGCTAAAATTATACAGTGAACAAGGGATGATGGGAATGTTTAACTGAAAGCTTAACTGATAAAGTATCACAGGGATATTAAAAACACATGGAGCAGAATTATGTAATGCACAAAAGCAACTAAAGCGAAATAAAATCACAGTGATACAAGTGACAATAGCACTTACTATGTATACATGATGGCCCTAATGGCTTTAATGTTTTGTGTGGTTATTAATTAATCTTTGAGGTAAATGTTGAAATGTGCATATAAAAAATGAGTAGAGGTTTAAGGTCTTTTAATTACGTCTGTTATGAAGTATTTTCTCTCATAAACTTCATACTTTCAAAACGCAAAAATATTCTCCAAATTTTACATTAAAAAGTCGACGCGTATCTGAAATTCTGCAATACAATTTCTATAAAATTCACAAACCCGACCTTTTCTGGTATCCTAAAACAACGGATATTCAGAAAAAGGTTGCCTGACTTTTCTGCATACAATGTGAATTTGACGATCCTGTAACTCTGGAGATTTTTATTACATTCTGGGCGCGTAATTAAAATGAAATTTCATGGTGATGAAAAACACAAGGTTCCACAGTTTGGGAAAATGTGGGGCCATTTCAATGTTGATGGGGTAGAAAATATATGTAGATTAATTAAATCAAGTGAGAAATATTTTAATTCCCAAACTTCTTCTGCAGGTTGTAAAAATGATGATGACGGTGGTTCTTATCTTTGCCGTGTGCTGGCTTCCATTCCAAGTCTACTTCATCGTGACATCGTACGATCCCGGAATTACCAATCTACCCTACATACAAGAAGTTTACCTGGGCATCTATTGGCTCGCCATGAGCAACTCCATGTACAATCCCATAATTTATTGCTGGATGAATTCACGGTGAGTGTGGATGTCTTTTTCTTTTCTTCATTAGGCTCAGGTGAGAATGCGCTTTACTCCTTCAAACTGACAGCACTTTTTGGCTCGCCTACGCTCGTAGATTTACTGCTGTGAGACAAGTCACTCTTCCGGCCTCTTTCTCACTCCACCGCTCAGCATTTCGACGGGAGAGTGAAGAAAAGTGACAAAGTACTCAGAATGTAGCACATTTTTAATGACTACCCATAAAAGTCCACCCTCTCAGGCCCCTGACGTTCGCTTTCACAACCCTTTGTTGGGCGGTGACTTTGACAATGAGCGTGGAAGTGGGTGGGTAATCGTGGGGATATTTTGCCCAACACCTCTGAGCAATCTTTCCACCCCACTTTCCATCCAGACAGTGCTTGTGCGAAGCTGGAAGGCAGGAAAGGGAGCATATGCGAGAGAATTCTTAATGGAATGCACTAAACCATTTTTAAGTGTTCTCTCTTCGCGATAGTATGAACACACCGCGTCACGCATAAAATGTTCTCTGGGAAAACAGATTTTTCTTTTGACAATCCAAGGCTCCAGACTCAGGATCACCCTGCGCGTGTGTCGCAGACAAGAGTGAGAGGACACGTGTAAACGCATTCGATGCAACGATGGATGTTTGATAAATGATTCACAGTTCTTGTCGCTTTGCACGGAACAGCAACTTTATGTATCCTCGTGTGCACCTAAGCATCGTTAATTTATTATTCACAGCCATTCTCCTGACTTGTGCAGAAACTTTCACACTTTTGCTATCTCGGGTGTTCGTGTGAGTTCTCATGGATGCAACAGTCGATGAGATTTTGCAGCAGAAATGTGTGATTTTGGCGCTGAGAGCCATGCACATTGTGGAGGGGTTTCAATAAAAGCTCTGTTATCATGAGATGCTCGAGAAGCTTTTGAAACACATTCCCAGGGAAGTGTTGTGAATATCAAATCCTCAAACTCATGGTAATTTTCACAGCAATCATCTATCTTTAATGACAATATTTGCATAAAACTATGAGGAGGATGCCTTTAAATTTCAACTGTTGACAATGTAACAATAATAACAATGTGTAATTCCTCAATGACTGTCCATATTTCTATCTCTGTTGCACACTGATATTTTGTTCTCTAAACTGTGAAAGCATATTTCCACTCTGTCTTGCTTAAGCTGACATTCAACATACATTGAGTTGCAGTAATACTGTGAAATAAGAAAACCATAAATAATCGCGAAGAATTCCAACTGTACGACAGAGCAGATTTACATATTGTGAAAATCAATTGCAGAACAGCGTGCTCTATCTTGAATGAAGTCAAGTGGTAAAGTAGTTCTCACCATCCGCTAAAAGCAACCCTCTTTTCGCAAATACGAGAGTAATCCCAATGCAATAGAGACTCAAATCACCAACCTTCTCATTAGGCGAGAGGGTGTTTGTCCTCTACATTAAAGTCACACCAAGAGTGAGTCTGGAAACGGATGCTTGATAAAGTTTCACAATTAAATTTGTACAGCAATAAATTCTGTTGCGTCTTCATTATAATGTTTCACCAGTATGGCAATTTCATATATGAGATACGAAATATTATATTTCTCTTAAATAAGGGAAAAGAGACGAAAATGTATTATCTTCAGCGATTGTTCAGTAATTTTCCCAAGGATTTTCTACACTGATGCGCTTTCTTTAAAAGCACATGAAAAAGTACTTTCTCAGATTTTTCTTCACATTATATCCTTTAGAATCTCTTGGACATGAAGACAAAGAAAATGTAAGGAGAATTGTGAAATTTTCTGCTTTCAATTTCATCCCGCACTTCTGACCCAATAATATGAAACACTCGTCTCGGCCATAAAAAAGCGCTTCATGGGGTGTGGGAACATGTAACATGGGGACTTTTTTACGATATCACCAAGTCCTCGAGTGAATTTTCAATGCGACTGAGGGTGCACAGAGCAGAAAGAAAGCGCATCGCACCCCTGAGCATACCTAAGCATTATCACCTGATGCAATATGGGACCCGAAGTTGCCAATAAAATACACTGGGTCTCACTACAGTCACGTGTAGTGCTTCCTGACCGAGAATTTTTACACACAAAACCCCGCTTCGCTTGACGCCGTGCAAGTGAACACAGTGAAATTTGATGTGGGTTTGCATTGCAGTTGAGAATTTACATTCATTGTCGCCTCTCTGTCTCTCCCACTTTCTTTGCCACCGTGAAGGTTTCGTCGAGGATTCAAGCAGTTTTTCCGATGGTGTCCCTTTGTGCAACTCACACCGGAAACACTGACGAGACGCGAAGTCGTCACCAAATACTCGTGCGCCGGTTCACCGGAGCACCACAGAATTATTCGCAATGGTAAGCCTTTATACCTAATCCATGCTATATACAATGCATACAAGGGGCAAATATCTCTGGGCCATTTTCTGCATGCTTATTTGCAAAATTCCACTTTCATATGAGACCAAGGCAGTGTAGAAGGAAGTACGAACATCCTTTTATACGTTCAATATTTGATTTGAGATGCCACAAAACATATTTACAACACACGCATTCCTCCCTTCGCCTCACCGTTTGCATATTCTTCCCAACATCAATAAAATATACTGTCTCTGCATCAACATAAATACACGATTTTCCTGATTTCAAGACGACATTTTGTCTCACATTGTTTCACACGCAAAATAATTTTCTCCGAGGCTACAGTTTAACGAAATACATTTAATTATACTCTGTTTATGGTTCTGAGATATGAGAAGAGAAATTGGTCTACAATAGGAATCGTAAACTAAATTCGGAGGCAGAAAAGTAAATTCATGATGAATTGTATTCAATTTGAATCTTTAGTGTAACCAATCCAAGAACTGTGTGCAATTAAATTTTATGTAAACATTAAAAGTGATTACATTCTCAAAAAAAAAACGATAGAAAAAGTAATGGAACTATTATTTTGTGAACAGAACAGATTCAATACAATTTATTTCCTATATTCCAAAACTCTACAATTATATGAGACAGAGACTATAATAATTTTTGCTATTGGTTTAGCATAATTCTCCAGGTTTAAAATGTCATTACGAAAATTAAACGCGGAAGTCATGTTTTCTAACATAAAGATTTCAATTAAGATTATACTCTTTGAAGGGAAAATTCAATTCCATCCCAAATAACTCTGGCAAAATGGACTCCCAAGAATCCATCCTTAAGGCAGCTCCGCCAGATATTCGCCTCTTGTTTGCCAATTTCGACCCAAATATTTCACTATCAGAACACCATCTCTGGAGGAGTGTTTTGGAGAATTATCGCTTTTTCACTCTTGTATATTCTCTCTGTTATTTTCTTGCAACGTGAATTGCGACGTTTGTTGGAAATGGTTTCGATACCAAAAAAAAACAAAATGTCAAGACACTGAAAGATCATTTCTCTACTCATGTTCAGGATCGCCAAAGCACCTCAATCGAACGAGTGGTAAGTGTTGATTGGACAATTTATACTTATTGCATGAAACATTATAAGCCCCTTCCACTCCATCCCCGAGCGACGATCCAACCACACAATTTATTGTTATTTCCCATCGTGGGGGTGCAAGAGGTACTCTACAGTACAATGGAGACAATTGGGTCTGCTAACTATATCCGTGCGGAATAAATATGTACATATGGTGCGTGTATAGAAGCGAATTGAATGTGTTGGAAGTGAACCGGAGGAAGCGGCATTTTAAATCGAGCACAATAATAATTCAGACAATTTCCCAGGGCAAATACACACAAAGGTCTCCCACTCTCCTAAACAGCCCCAAGAGTCCACCCATGACAGGCCTCAACTAGAAGAGCGAGCGAGAGAGAGAGAGAGGGTGTCGGGAAAGCTGTCCAGTGCGGAGACAAAATGAACAGTTTTTGAATTTGCAATTGTAATGAAAGTGAGTTAGCTTATATCTTGTGGACACTCTGGAAACATTGAAGACATTTCCACCCATTTCATCATTCATTTATGTACAACCATAAAGTACATTGCAGAAGAAGGAATAAATCTTTCCCTCTGGCGCCACAATGCGAGTCTATTTCTGACGTGAGGGACTCACATGGGAGTTCATGGATAATCTTGCACCTCCGCCGCAAGGAGAATAAGCTCAATGCCATTTTCTTTTCTTCCCTGAGCATGCTAATCGTGCGGCGGCTTTCACGTGACCTGTTAGCGAGAGTTCACGTGGAAAATTTTTCATTGCGAATTTATGTATACGCGCTCAGTGGTTAAATTAATGTTGAATGAGAGTCAAAGAATAGTTCAGTGCTTCTCTCAATGATAAATAAACCGATCCACTTGCATAGGTCAATTGATTTTTACTCACTCAGCTTTATTTCAAATTATTTGGTCTCTTGGACACATTTCTAATCATGAATCTAGAATTTTATCACCTCTGATAGCGTGTAAATTTGGCCTGCGTTCAGGGATCGCGAGAACACGTTTTTTCTTTATTTTTATCCAACCTGCAAAAGTTGGTAGAGGAAAGTCACGCCAGAATTGCTTACTCGTTTTGCGTTGTCCCTGTGGACATTTGTCTCTGTGTCAGAAGGAACACGATTTATCAAAAGAATCAACACAATAAAATTTATCTCGCTGATCTTACGGCAATCACCTAATTGCATTTTCGTGGCTCTCCATCGCACGCAAAAGTCCTGATGGTGGAGATACAAGGAGATGAAATTTGCTCTGAGGATTCTGACTGTTTTCGACAGAAACTCAAGAGTCATCAGACGCCTTTCTCCCTCTTCCTTCCTGTCGATTTCGGGACTTTTGGTCAACATGACAGAACAATTGTTGGATGCTGAAGAATAAAAGGGGCACTAATTCGCCTTCAAATATTATCTATATGATGAAGTAAGCAGTAGAAGAAAAATCTCACCAACAAAGGAAGTCCTCAAGGACAGATTCAGAAAGTGGCAAAGACTGTTCTTCATGGTGTGAGGCAGTAAAGAAAATATTTTCGCTCGGTGATCTGATCAGAAAAGGAATGGAAAATTAGCGTGAATATCAATGTGAATATATGAGCAGCAGACAAGTTGCTCTTTATCTCAGTTAAATCAAATTATTTTCCATGCAAATTTCATCGACACGGCAATAGAAATCTATGTGAATAAATACAATTCTATGGCAAAGTTGTATTTCATTAAACAATGTATGCAAATAGCAGAATTTATTATTTCTCTCTCTCTCTCACTCTCAGCTCAATTAAATAACTATTTTGCATTTGATGGAATTCACGAATTGACACAGGCAAAATTGAAGAATAAACGACAATATAACGACATGAAAATATATTTCAGATTTGCTTTCATTGTTGTTTGTGACGCTCGGTGGGAAACTCTTAATGAATGTCAAAAGTTCAGGTTATGCTTTTTGGAGGGTGAAAAGGGTCAAGGGGATTCCAATGAACTTGAAAATTTCGCAGACTGAAGGGCGAGAATTTAAAGGTCAACAGCACCTTTATACTGCAAATATAACTTAGTTTGCTAAAATGCAACAAAATTCCAATTTTACCATTCAGTATTGATGAGTTAAATTTCACGATGGCGCATTTTCATAAAATTCCAACACAATCAAGTATGCAAAAAGCCCAATTTGAGAGCGACGAAAGCTCACTGAGTGCTTTTTTATTCAATCAGTTAACTTTTTTTTAATGATTCACTAATGTGACATCTTGCTTTCAACCTAATGAGAGCTATCTAGGAAAATCCACCATTTAGCTGGCAATCAGGAAATTGACATTTTGAGAAGAAGAAAATTTAAGTTGCCTTTTTGTTTTTCCTTCCTAACGATGAAAATATTTTGTTGTCGGAATAAAGTCTTTAAGACACACATTAATTGTCTATAAACTTAGGAAATTTTACCGCTTGTGTAAGGAAAAGTTTTGAGAGCGCTTTAAAGAAATTCCTTCATGTATATTTGTGCCATTTCAAATACGTTAACTATAATGTTTATCGATGATAATCTCATAAGTTCAGCAATTTATGCATAAAATAACAGTCCGGAATTGAAAATTTAAATAGGATATATCCACATAAACCGTGCAGGACATCGAGTGTGAGAGAACTCTTTGACAGGATGAAAATAGAAAGCTATTTATGTTAATTTCAAGTGGAAAGCTTGAAGCCAAAACACCACAAATTTGAATATAGGACAGAAAATTCGAAAACACCCGCTCAAAGAATGAAACTTGACTTGGCGAACGAAGAAACTTTGGAACTTTATTGCCTTCCTGACTTTTCTTCCTTTAGTTTTTGAATAAATTAAATTGTGACATAGAATTTTTTGACAACTTTCTTCTACCATACAACTCCTCGAGACATGCATTTTTCATTAAACCATGTACCCAGAACCCAGTCAACTTAGCTTATAACAAGTCTTATAAGCAGGAAAATATTCCCGCGAGGGAGTGGAATTTTAGTGTTTTCTTCTTTGCAATGTGGCTTAGCACATAAATCACTTTTGGAGTTGAATACAAAATCATGTACTGTGCCATCCTGTTCCGGCCCAATATTTTTTTGGCGGGGCGTGGATGGGGGAGGGAATTTTTCATTTTAAGCACAATTTGCCTCAAAAGAGTTCAAAATCGAGGGGGATTGGAAAGACGGCAGCGGCGTTTTCGCACACAAAAAAGCTCCGGAAGGGATGAATTTCCATGCGGAAGGTGGCACAAAACGATGCAATATTGTATCAAAATCTTATCACTTTCCTCTCACGCATACAGAAAAGATAAATCAATCACGCGGCAGGGAGAAAAAAAAACGGAGGTGCGAGCACGAAACGTGGATAAAGACTGAGAGCTTTAATATGGAGATTATCGCAAATATGCGATGGAGAATCATTTGGGCGTGAAAGTGTCTCAATTTATGCTTTTCTACAATTTATCGGCATTTTTTTCACCTCAGCAAACATTGAAAAATGAATGATACGACAATTCTAGGGAAGGCTATTTTGGGGAGCTTTATTTGTCTCAACAAAATCAAGTGGAAAAAATATGCTTAGACAGACATTTTTTTTCCCACTAAAATTTTTCAACAGACTTCGCCTGACTGCTTGTCGTAAATCATCCTCTTTATGCATAAGTTTTTCAGTAATTTTATATCCCCTTTCGGTGGAGAAGGATGGCAAAAACGTGTTGGGGAAGTGCCTCAGGATCTTCCCTTCGAAAGCACCGTCGCTGCACAAAAGCTGATCGCAATACAAATAGAATTTAGAATAGAGGCTTTCAGGGCCTGAGAGCTTCCTCCGCCTCTTTGGTCATTGCCCACCTCCTCACATTCCCAATTTTAATGGCATGTTCGTGGGTGTTAAGAAAAGGAGCCAAGCATATAAATCAAATTTAATATTCTCCCTTCTGGAGTTTGCATATAAATTAGGTGATATTTTTGACCAGGACGCCCGTGAAAATGCCGCTTGTAATTAATGTTTATGAATCAATATATGTATAGAAAATTGAATGATGTATTGTATGTCATCTGAAAATTTCACTCAAAATTTTGAACAAGGGAGAGCAGAGAGACTCAAAGTGAGCCACAGCATAAAAATTCTCCTCGAGAATTCCCATTGTGATAAATTGATTTGGAGGGCGTTTCTGTGTAGGGAAATTTGAAGGAATGGAAAAATGTGGGTTTTTCTGTTTGGTTTCCAAATTTTTTTTTGCCTGGGAAAAGTTTTCCTCTCGTGTTTCACAAGTTTTAATTAAGGTATTCAAGAAGTTTTTCTACACTTACACTGGCATTCACACTAATTTATCATACAGTATATATTGAGTATATTGCAGAACAAGTTGCGTATAGTTTTCCTTTGACTAAAAATGCAACTAGAAAGATTTAATTAAAATCATTGAGCTACTTTGATGCTCACCGAGCAGTGAGAAGTAATTGAATTTAGCTCGCTATGCATATCGAAAGAATAACTCCTTAGTCACTGAATTGTAATTAAAATGCTCCCTTTTGTTCTGGGATAAAAATTCCCTACAATTTTAATGCAGACACACACACTTTGGCGGAAAGAAAAAAAAAGGAATTCCATGAAATTCTTTTCAGAATAAACTTCATAACGAAACAATGGAAAAAAGCTGTATGTGCAAATGTTGTGATTAATTAACATCCACGCTGTGAATTTGTTGAAATCTTCCAGGCTCAATGAGGACTTCCATGCAGCACACATGCCACAGTCCGGCCACGAAGAGCAGCTATGTTACCAACACGGCGGGCATGATAACGCTCAATTCCCTGAATAACGACATCCCCCTGTCCAGGACCACGACGGGCAGTCAGCGCTGGACATCTCGTCGCTCCGTCTCCTGACAATTGTCCGGGGGTAGCGAGGGCGGCGACGGGGTGCCCTACAACGGGATCAGTTGCAACAACAACGAGACCACCCAGCAGACAATTCTCGACAGTCCCATCGAGTCAGCCGGCGGAACTCGCCAGAGACGGACGTGGATATGAAAGGAGACCCGATGCTGAATCCATCAGCATCGCAGGCAGGAAAATTGGGCGAAATTCGGTGCACCATGACACGGAGCAAAGACTGTGAATATGTAGATTGAAGTTATACATAGTTTAAGAAGGCAAACAATGGTGGACAAAGGTGCATTGAGGTTGTCTTGAAAGTTGAGAGAAGGATCTTCATTTGCATCCACTGCGTTATGGAGATATTGGAATTTGAGATTGTAGAAAAAGGAATCCGTGTAAATGCTTTTTCAATTGACAAACTTTCGGGATGACCTAATGAGTGAGAATTTTGCTAGGCATAGAGAAAAAAAACATCACTGTGAAACAGGAAAAAACACATCTGTCTTTCATATTGTAGAATCTCACTGAAGGGATATTTTTATTGTAAATACTACATTGCCACAATTTATATTACCAATATTAAATGTAAATACATATGATGAGTGCTTGGGAGTGTGCTTGAGATCATCCCCTATAGATGTTTGCGTGGGATGGGATTTGCTGTGGACCAAAAACCATGGTGTGGTGACGGATATGGCGATTTATTGCAATAAATTAGGCCACGGAGGACAAACACCCAGCGCTTGAATATTAATCACGAAACCGGATAGCTGATAAGCTCTCCCCATTGACACTATCAAGACACAATTCCCCATTCGTCCCTCCACCAGAATGCCCATAGAGAGCCATTCTCGTGGAAAGTGTGGTAAAACTCCATTGGGACATTTCAATTTCCGACTGAATGCTGATATTTGGTATATTGAAAAATATATTATGTATGTATGTGTATATTTAAAGTATCAATAGAGAGTAAAATCAATGGTACATTGATGGACGCATTGTTTGAAATAGCACAGGATGAAATAACACCCCCAAGAGAATGAGCCAAAATATGAGACGGAGTGCGGGGGAGACAGTGAATCACGTGAATTGAAATTAATGTCTCTGGTGGAAAGATGATTTGACGGGAGAAAAAGTGGAAATCTCCATAAAATGGTGCTTAAATTAATATCGATTTAGTAATTAAATGGATATGTATCATCAAGATTTTCCTCCCGAACCACTGCCAAAAGATTATTTTCCCAGAGTGGTTTTGCCACGCTAACAGAGCTGCACAGAGTGAATTTTAGAGATGCAATAAGAGTAATAAAGTATAAAATGCAACTAAAAGAAATACATTTGAAATATAAAGTTTACAGAAGCAGAAAATCCACAGCTTAAGCGAAGGATTTTCTGTATATAATCTCTTCATTTTCATCTATTTTCCTTCCATCTCTGTTTATATGGAGGAAATGTGTTATTTCTTTGGCTGAATATCACGTGTTTTTGCAAGGAAATTACACGTTTTCCGCTGGAATTGTTCCTTCAAGACAACCGTGCAAATTTCCACAATGTCCTCACATCTTCACTTAATCTCTCTCACACTCCTTCTCGTCGCGATTTGCGATTCTATAATTGCACAATCCACAATGAGGGAGTTTTTTTTTTATAGTCGACGCATAAATCATCTATCTTGAAAATTCAACGAGGCGAAACGATCATATACTCTGGTAGTTTAAGTACATATCATCAAGTGGAGATAAATTGAGGCTAAAATATGGCTCTTGTGAAGGCAATTTTCTGGTTTTTCGTGCCATCAAACAAATAGGAAAATACCAAATGGGACACAAAGACGCTCTGATGTGCTCATTTTCCAGAATTTAAGTGCAGAAAATTCTGAGCAGTTTTGAATGAGAATTGTAATAGAATAGAGATATTCCTCCAGTTCAAGTTGAAGAAATTAATTCTAATCTGCGTGTTCGTGATGCGAACAAATATTATAGAAAGATGATTTAGTGTATAATTCTCCTGAAGGCGACATTTTTTTATTTTTCACTCTTAACATCTCCTTCCACATGTCACGATTATCCTCTGAATGTTAAGTACATAGAAAGAAATAAAAAATGCAGAAGATATAAAAATTTTTAGATAAAAGCCACCCACTGGAGAGGCAAAGCAGATATTCAGAATAACTATATGTGTGGAAAAGAAAAATGCAGGAGAAAAACTTCTTACAGCGACTTTTCATGATGAACAATTATCAAAAGAGAAGAAAAAAATGTGTTACTCCTAAGCAGAGGTTTATCTATTTGAACTTGAAGATTTTAATGGTGATGATTATAGTGAGAGGAGGAAAAAAAATATATGTTTTATAAATAAGTATCGAGAATTATTACTTCTTTGCTTCGGCATTTCCACCTTGCAGGAAATCACCCGCGGAGAAGATTAATTGCCCTCCACAAAGACATCATCAAGTTGCTCCAGTCAAAGATTCATCAGTAAAAAAAAATACGGCATCAATTTAAGCTTTGAATCACAGTGAGTAATGAAGATTCTATAACATTGCTTCCAATATGGAAAAAACACAAGGTTTTTTATCCTATTTCCACCCACTCAGTAAAAAGTGCAACTCTTCCAAGTACCAGTAATGTTGATTTAAAGCATTGATAGAAGAGCAGTAGAGTGGAAAAATCACATGAGTCCAATTAGTGGCAACAAATTGTACTTTTTCCAGCCACTGAACGATAAATTTCGACGCAGGTGGACGAAAAAGTACACATTCACCGGTAAAAATCCACCGCACAAATTGTGTAGCAAAAGGATAAAATACTTTTTCCAAATTGCTAAATGATAATTTGATAGTGATGAAGCAGAACAACTGGGGGATGTAATCAGTGTTTGGTTCACCGGGAGAGAGAAAAAAAAGTTTCTGATCGTTTGAGAAAATGGAGCAATTTTCTTTTGCACAATTATTGCCAAAATCGCTGCCGGCGGGAAAGTGTGTAAGAAACTCAAGGAGAAGTGAAGCATCCTTTATAAAACAATCGTGTAAGAATTTCTGTGAGAATTTAAATTCGACATGCCACTTATCAGAGTTTAGCACGAGCAAAGTTGAGTAATCTCGATGATTACTCAAAGGCAGGCGCATTGAGATTCAGAGTTATTTCATATTTTCATCCACGCAGATATTTTGCACGCAATTTGCGTATGAAAAATGGACACATGAAAGTTAGTCACAGTAAAATCTTCTTACCCTCTTCATCCTCAATCTAAATCGTCGTCAACTCAGATCGAACGCGAGAATTCTAGATGAGGCTCTTCAAAGTTTTCTGCGAGCAGATTTTCTGCGGAGCGCCTCTGGCGCAGAGATAGCGATTTTTGTGGCGTGTTTCCATCAACAGAGCCCACCCTCATGTGGACACGCAGCAGGAGGAGTCGGCAAACTTTCCCTCGGCACGCACTTTCACAAGTTTCTCTTTCTTGCTCTGTGACCCTCATTTTTTTGCGTGTGAACTTCGACAATCACTGGAAATCATTTTATTCCAAGATGGTCCTCTCTCTGATTGACGTCCTCCCACATGTTGCCACCTTGTGTCTCTCCGTCACGTTGTCCCATAAATCATCCTCCTGGCGGCAATTAAATAATATTTAAAGAACTTTTCCAATTACACACACTTTTCATTCGCCGACAATTTTTCCTACGAACTACTTAGGGTAGTACTTTAGCTCTACACGCCCCGCGCGGGCGTTGATAAACTCCCAGGAGTCGAGCTGGAGAGACTTCTTCTTCATTATATCAATGTACATAGTGCCTTCCAGATGATCCATCTCATGCTGAGCAATCCGGGCACTCCAACCCTCCAGTTTCAGGGTCCTGTTGACTCCCTTCTCATCGAATCCCGACAACTCCACGCCATTGTACCTCGTCACATCGGCCGTGAAGCCCATCACACTGCCACATCCCTCGGGAAAGGTGTGCTTGGTGTAGTCTGTGACCTTCAGCTCTGGATTCACGAAAACCTGCGAGTGAGGGGATGATTTATGTTCCATCCTGATCACAACTTCACACAATATATCCCACCGTCTCTGGCATCGCTTGCATATTCCTCGTCTTCACCACTTCCTTGCTGTATTTCTTCAATGTCGCCTCGGGGAATTCCATCAGGATGACACGGAGAGGTACTCCCACCTGGGGAGCTGCTATTCCAGACATTTTAAAGGCGTGCATTGTGTAATACATGCGATTGAGAAGAAACTTCACCGCCGGCCCGCCGATGTCTTCTTCCGGCACCAATCCTGCCTTCTGCCTCAGCACAGGATCACCAATCTGGACGACATGCTTGTAGGGAGCCTCCACGGTGCGTGGCACCCAGAAGGAGGGCAGGAAGTCCTTCAGAGACTTCCAGCTGCCGGGGCTGGTGTGAAATTCCATCCGGATGCGATGTAAACACTGCTTGGAGGTTATGTCACACAACCGGCTCACATTTTTCACTTTCATGAGAAAATTGCGCATAGCAAATACGAAATATTTGCACAAAAAAGATACTTTAACACTTCCTCTTGCGACTTCTTAACAAATAATGATGAATTATTGCGGTTTATTCACGAAAAAGGCCAATCAATGCGCACCCAAAATCACAATGTTTTTCTTTGGACGACTTTCCGAATTCCGGAGACGGCAATGCATTTGAAGTGCTTGGAATATCGCAATTGAAGGGTTTTTACTTTCCCGCCAATAATTTCTCACGACTGCGCTCAATGCGTAGAATTTATTTATTCCCAAAAAAGAGTAAAGCATATTCCGCAGGACTAATTTACTCATCAAAAAGTGATACAAAAGGCATTTCATTCTACATAAATTAATTCATAAGTTAAATGCATTCCCCCGCCGATCTACAGTTCGGTTGTTTCCAATTTCTTGGCCAAAATGTGAGCGTTTGTTAGCTTATCAATTTGCTGATACACATTGAATTGGCGATTTATGTCGTTCTGAGTATTAATATTCTTGTTCTGTTTCGCGTTGTATTGATCGTTGACTATAATATTTTCATCGATTGAGTCATTGCCGGAGCCCTGGCTAAAGTTATCGTCGTTCTTGAACCACTCGTTCTCGTAGGCCTTCAGCCAGATGGGATTGCTGCCCTCCATGCTGTGTTTGTTGGTGTTTGGAACCCTCGAAGCCACTCCGCGGCCAGCGAGATCGGGCACTGTCGGTCCTAGAGAGGAAAAAGAGAGTTTATGATCTGAATCGCGATGATTTTCAAGCAAAACTCACCAAAAGTATTAACTCTCGCTGCACGGAGTTGCCTCTTGTAGTTGGATCTCTGGGACATGCAAATCCCGAGAAGTATGATCAGAAGAGCACCAACAATTAGGTTTGAGAAGACCAGCCAAATGAGGAACGATCTGCCGGTCATTTCGCTGGTTAGTAGCAATGCCTCGGCGGGTTGAGTGTCCAAGACATTGAACTCCTTGAAGAGATCATCCAGCTTCTCAATGTTCTGATCGATCAACCGGAGAACATCTCCCACTTCGAGAATGGAATTGTCCATCGGATCAACCAGATGCAAGTACACATCGGTTTTCGTCTTATCCACTGACCCATCCTTGTTCTCATGTATGCGAAAATCATCCACATTCACTATGGCATTGGTGACATTGCCCAGGATCCGGCGGAAGTCATCGACTTTATCGCGCACTTCAGGCGGTTGCTGTCGCAGAACAATCTTCACGCGTTGATCGGATCGCAAGAGATAGATGAAGACGTGGGCGATGTCCTGAAGACCATCCGTGTCATTTGCCACCACCATGAAATCAAAGTATCCCTTCATGCCCTTCAGTGGATCGAAGTTAAGCTGAATCTCTCCCGTATTCACGTCGACGAGGAAGGGTGGCTTTTGCAGACTGTCTAAGCCTTCGGTGAGTGTCTTCTGGATGTTGCCAATTTGATAATACGCTATCTTTGCATTCTCGCCATCGTCCTTATCCAGAGCCTTCACTTGCATGAACTTCATCCCAAAGTCTGCAGCCGTCGTCACTCCACCAGTAAACACTTTGCTGGTGAATTTGGGCGCATTATCGTTGATATCATTGACAAATACTGTAATCCGCACTAATGTGCTGTCTTCAGACAGCAAAGCTCCACTCTCCAAACTCTCATAGATTGGATCCCGGAGATCCTCAGCATCCTCCTCGATACTCCGAAGATTCCTGGAATGCTTGTATCGATCAAAGTAATCAATATACTTACTGCTGTACGTCTTTGTTCTGGCTTGCGTGCGATTCATGTCAGGAAGTTGTCGCTTAATTGGCGCCGGCACTGGACTGTCTGCATTGAGAGCTTTTGGAACGTTGACACAATCCTCCGTTGCCTTCACTATCAGCGTGTGATTTGCCTTCACTTCTCTGTCCAATTCACGAGACAACGTGAGAATGTGAGATTCGGGATCCAGTTGGAAAAGACTGTCTTCATTCCCATAGACGATGTAGTAGCAAACAACACTTGGCGGATCATCGAGTTCATCCACTTCATCGCGATCAACAGTGTCCGGAAGTTTCCTCTTCTCCATTCCTGGATGAGAATGTTCTGTGAAATTCACCATGATCTCCTCCACCAGGAATTGTGGTTCATAGTCATTGACATTTCGCACGTAAACTGTGAGATCAAGATCTGAACTCAGAGGAGTTGGAATTCCTTGGTCGTACGCTTCCACGCGGATCTCATGAATCCTCTGTCTCTCCCTGTCGAGTTGATGCTTGAGTGAGATCATTCCTGTTTTCGAGTCGATCTCAAACATCCGATAACTGCCGATCGGATCGGGCTTCAAGCGATACAACACCGCAGCATTCGGTCCAACATCGTCATCTCTCGCTATCACCTGAATCACAGGACTTCCCACAGTGGCATTTTCAGGAATCCTGATTGTGATGTTATTGGCTGGCGACACGAAGATCGGAGCGTGATCGTTGAAGTCCGAGACGCACACTTCCATCTTCTGTGACACTACATTGGCTGGAGTTCCGAGATCTCTGGCGGTGATGGTGAGAGTGTAATTCCCATAGAAGCCCTGAAGAGAGTGTTTGGCGAAGATCGCGGCAGACCAAGAGTCGATTTTCACAATCTTGAAGAGATCAGCGCTCTCGTTGGTTAGCAGTTCAAATTCAACGACTCCGTTTGGTGTTTTAGGATCATCAGCATCCGTGGCTTTGAATTTTGCAATGAATTCCCGCAGGTCGTGATACTCAGTTATCTGAACACAACCGACAGGAAGATGAAGAATAGGTGGAGAATCGTTTTCATCCAGAATTTTGATGCTAAAAGAGAAATCGAAAGGATTTTAATCATATAATCGCGACAGAAGAATAAGGAAAAAGTGTGAGACTTACAAGAGTTGCTTGAATGTGTTTCGACTCTCGCCGCTCAAGTAGCCAAACTGATAATTATCCCAAGCTTCAATGACAATCATGTAATCATCCTTAACTTCACGATCAAGTTTATCTGCCACCGTGATCACTCCTGTATCGGCATCGATGGTGAACTTTCCTTGGGAACTGATTCTGTCCATTAAATAGGTGATCTTGCCAAAGTCACCTGAATCTGCATCTTCAGCTCTCACTGTGGTAATTTTGGTGCCAACAGGAGAGTTTTCAGACACTGATAAATTTCTCATGTCGCCCAAAAAGTATGGTCTGTTGTCATTCTCATCAATAACATCGAGAAACACATCAACGAGTGACGACCGACTGGGAATGCCTGAATCCGTTGCCTTGACAGTGAAATTGAGCCACTTGTGAATCTCATGATCAATCTTATTGGCCACCACAATTTCTCCTGACTCCGAATCGAGATGCACAAGATCTGTGATATCTGATGGACCTTCCAAGGAATACGTTATTGTGCGATTCTTATCCACATCATAAGCCACAATATTGACTATCGTCACACCATTTGGACTGTTTTCTGTGATGGATCGTTTGTAGAATGGCTTCCTGAACTTTGGACTGTTATCATTCTCATCCTCAATCTGTATTGATAAGGTTCCTGGTACAATTTGCCGCCCTTTCGCCGCTGCAATGTCCTCGACTGTGAAACCGAGTTTGATCTGTTCTACTTTTTCTCTGTCAATTAGTTTGACTACCCGAACTAGTCCATCAACTGCATTAATCTCGAAGGCACTCAAATAGTCATATTCGGATAGTTTTACAATTGCACCTTCATCAGATCGTGCCTCAGATGTTGAGGAATCCACACTGTATCTCAGTATGGGTTTAGCGTCTGTATCAGTGGCCATCAAGCGATAGACATACGTTCCAACAGGAGTGTTTTCCTTGACAGACACTGTTCCAGGATCTGCAAAATGCGGTGGTTTGTTGTTCACATCGATTATGGTGATGTTGACAACCGTCGAAGTCATCATTTGCTGATCACCAATTCCACTGTCCAATGCCACCACGACGAGTGAGTACTGATCCACCTTGGGATTCGTGAGATCCGGATCCAGTGATGCACCAGGCGCTATTGATATGATTCCTGTGTCACTTCCAATGACAAATTTGTCACTCGCTCCCTTCTGGATACGATAAACCACTAGATTGTTTGGTGCCGATCCATCCTTGTCGGACGCCTTCACTTCCAGAATTGAAGATCCACTTGGGAGATCTTCGTGGATAGCTCGACGGTAGTAGGAGTGCTGGAATTGAGGAGCGTGATCATTGACATCGTGTAAATATACAACGACTGGAACTCGAGCTGAGAGACTAGGAATCCCCGCATCTTTGGCACTGACAGTGAGATAAATCGGTCGCACATTGGAACTTCCGCCGGCGATTAATTCAAAATCCATTGAGCCTGTGGGTTCAATTAGGCCAGTCTTCGAGTCAATTGTGAAGTTGTCTTTGAACTCTCCGTCCACCAGTTCGTATGTGATGTCACTGTTTTTCGTTCCATTGAGATCATTGTCCTTGGCTTCGACAATTAAGGGTGTTTCGAATGTCACCTTGTTTTCCATTAGTCTGACCTCATATTTGCTTTGGACAAAGACCGGGGAATTGTCATTGACATCTTCAATGTTGACTATCAATTGGACAGTGTTTCTGTTTCCCTGACCTAAGTTGTCCCTTGCCTCAACTGTTAAGTAATGGCGCGATACCAATTCCCGATCGAAGGAGTGTCCTCCGGGAGATTTAACAGTGATCACTCCTGATATTGCGTTCAGATGAAGAAGATGAGCTATTCCTCCGCCCATGTTTGTGTATCTTATGCCTCGAGTGCCATAATTACCCGAATCCAGGTCAAAGGCATCGACTTGTCCCACAGTTGTGCCCACTCCGCTGTTCTCCGGAATTGACACTTCGTATATCCTGTTGGCAAATTCCGGGAAATTGTCGTTCTGATCGCGAATGTGAATCTTAATTGGCACCGACGTCCACCTGCTCTTATCAGCCACTTCCCGTGCCACGAGAGTAAAGTTGAGTTGAGTGACTTTTTCAAAGTCTAGGAACGTTGAGTCCTTAACTCGAATCAGGAATGTGGCTTCATTGATCGCTCGACTGGGTGTGACTTCGAAGATTTCATTGGGTGGAACCAGGGCCAAATCGAAAGTGCCATTGAGGCCTTGGTCGTGATCGAAGATTTCATTGATGGCCGAGTGTCCGATGAATGTGAGTGGTGTGTTCTCCTGAGCATTCTCGTTCACTTCGCACTCATACGATTTGTCCCTGAATCTCGGTGTCTCGTCATTCACATCCGTTAGAATGATGGTGATTTCCGTCCTAACGGATGGTGGTGGGTTGACGATCTTGGACTTCTCCGTGGCAACAACCTCCACAATGTATGCCCCATTTATCTGATTGTCGGGATTCTCTCTGTCGAGTGTCTTAACTGTTACAATAACGCCTGATTTTTCGTGGATGCCAAACAATCCAAAGCCATTCCTCATGGAGTACCGAATTTCATTGTTGACTCCCCGATCACCGTCTATTGCCTTAACTGTAAGACGGAGAGAAAACGCGCATTATTAGCATTTTTCGAGCCCTCTGTCCATGTAGCGGAAAATTGCCGCGAATTTCACTTACCGTGAGCAACTTTTGAACCCAGCGGAATGTCTTCAGACACCCGAATCACGGGCGTCACGGCGACAAATTCCGGTGGCTGGTCCTCCATGTCTTTGACTTTTACCAGCAATGCTGCACTTCCCGTATTTACTGCGCCCTGATTCGCTCGATCCACGGCCAGGATGCGCAACTGATAGAGACTCTTGCGTTCATAGTCGAGCTCTCTCATTAAGCGAATTACACCCTTGCCCTGTGTAGTGGTTATGGAAAACACATCATTGTCACCATCGAGCTCTTGGAGGTAGTAGATAACTTGTCCGAAGGCACCTTCGTCTCGATCGGTTGCTTCCACCGTTGTGATTACTCCCGGACGACTGCCTTCGGGGACTTCTAGTGCGGCCTGGAAAGGCTTAAATATGGGCTCATTGTCGTTGACGTCCTCGACCAGCAGAAGAAGACTTTGGGTAACGAAATTTCCATCCCCAAGGCGATTGTCTGTCAGTGTTAACACTATCGAATACTCATCTTTGGTCTGAAAACAATGGGAATTATTAAGTTGCTATCTATCTCACAGAAGTGCTTGATCATCAAGATAATCACTTACTTCTCTATCTAGTTCCTGGGCTAAGAACAAGTTAGCCTGATTCATTCCGACATTCTCAACTCTCAGAACCTCACTTCCTGGGATTGTGTCCTTGATGCCAAACGTGAGCGGATCCCCATCCGGATCGACTCCCTTCAGTCGGTATATCAGCGATCCAACAGGAGTGTCTGGGCCCTCCTTCAGTCTGAGCACAATTTCTGAGTGTCCATCTATCAGGAATCTGGGAGGATGGTTACCAAAAACTCCACCAACACACGTGAAAAGCTCAAGGATGCAGAAAATCACTATCGAGCAGTGAGTTAGCCGACTCTTCCGCGTCTTCGGAACATCAATCATCCTTTTCAAACGGACCTTCCTGAATGTATTACACAAACATGCTGTTATAGTTTCCATGCTATGTCAGTGTTTTAAATCGTTGTTCTCAGTGTTGCAATGATTGATTTGCCTGAACTTTTAGATGCCCATAGTAAATTTTCCTCTGTAGATTTACTGATAATCCAGGATGAAGAGCTCATTTTTAGGTGATTTCTGAAATGACGAAAGTGGCGAAGAAGAGTAAATTTATCATTCTCTTACACTAACGGAGAAAGACATGTTAGACAGTTAACCTAGTAAAGTGCATCAAGAGGTGGACAATTAATGGGAGGGAATTTTTGCAAAATGGACAGAACACACAGAACAAGAGTAAAACAAAATGTAGATTGTAGGTAAAGTCAGTGTCCCAGAAGAGTCTTTTCTTGAGTCTTTTGAGCACGTTCCACGGAAATGTAAGCAGAAATTAACTGCCGACAACTTCATGGACTGGTGGTTTTCGTAGAATTTCCATCAAAAGAATGGGTCAAGTTTGAGAGAAATGTAAACACCATTGCGGAAAGAATGCTAAATTTTCTCAGAACAATGCCCAAAAGATTTTATTGCTCACTTAATCGAGAAGAGTTTAGGATGTACGCGAGTGAATTTATTTTTACACCTCCTGCCCATCGCGTGCTGTTTGGAGAGAAATTTATTGTATAGGCGAAATCACAGAGTGAAATTCAGCAAAATACAGATTGCTAATGCGGAAATGCAGCTTCCACGTGTCTTGCAAAACTAATTGCTCAACACATGTGAAGGGATAACGCGGTGTGAAGAAGCGTGTGTCTCATTTTCCGATCTCTATTTTTCGCCAAAAGTGCTTTCTGTTATTGTTTGCAGCGAAATAAGTACTTGAACACTGAAGGCAACACCTCGAGCAACACCTGCGAGATTTTGCTTCGGATTGACGCGAAGAAGAGAGGCAAGACATTGGGCAATTGTGCCTCTTCTTGACGTCTTAATGAATTGCCTCTTTTGTTGCACGCCTTATCTCTAATTCCGTCAAGTTTATCAGCTATAATCGCAATGCATAATATGTAATTGTAACGCTATTGCATGATTCTACGTCTTAAGGTGCCACTTAAGTGATTGTAGTCAACCTTCAGACTATCTCCCTTGGGTTTTCAGTGAACTCACTCTCCCGTGTGATGTCGCCAGAAGGGAGAAAGGGTTTCCCAAACCAAACCTATCATTACAGTCCTTTGTCTCTTCTTCATGACTTTGTGTTAATTGGACATAAATTTAGAAAGCATCCATTATTTTCCAAGCAATCCCTATAAAAAAGAGCAAGAGATTTTCCTCTACAAATTGCTGTGAAGAAAATTATTTATTTTAAATCACAACTGTTAATGATGATCTGACTTAAGCAGAAGAAACTGAAACTTCAAGTTACACTAAATTCCGTGGCTTTTTCCTCTCGTTGTGATCTTCTCTTGGAGGAAAAGTCATTGGCAGAAAAACACAGAAATCAATCTCAAGGTAATTCAAATTGATATGATTCGTGACTCACAAACAAAATTGCACTCGCGAAGATTGATGAGTTGAGGAAAAAGTTGCCGGTAGACTTGTATTTCCTTTCAATTTCTAGTTCGCACTTTGTATGCCCAGCAATTCACTTCCTTCAGCGACTTTTTGCTTGATGGAATTGAACAAATGCCTCAGACACTTCAAGTGATAGTAAAACCGTATCATAAAAAGCTATTTGGGTTAATATATCCCTCAGATGTCTTCAATCAGTCTCTCTTTCAAGCAACCATACGTGCGGAGTGGATACATCATGAGATCTGATGAGTTCAGGTGAAGCACGTGCAAGTGTGGTTTGTCGACAAAATGCACACTTCTTCACCTGCACGATTCTCTCTGTGGCACTTCAATAAAATTAAGATTCCATGTAAAATGCAATTGTTGACACGCTAAATCCACCGTGATTCACGATATGAGACCGATAAAATTCAAATGAGGCGCAAGACGGTGGCAAAGAGTGGATGGATTGTGGCTGTTCTATGGTACAATTTCTCCATTTCATATTATACTATTGATACATGCCTCCAGCTTGGAGGTCTTGCACTTGACTTGCAGTTTCCAATTGCCTGGGAAACCGATTCAGATGAGAGATTACCTTTGGCAGAGTTGCTGCAATTATATCTTCACACTGCATATCAGCTTTCAGTGACTCAATTATTCTCACAATTGTCACACTTTTTCCCAAGATCTTTGGAGAAGAAAAGGCAAGAGAATTGCCATGAAATCGAATCTCTTCATATTCATTTTTATCCACCATTCGACACTTTTTATTTCACATTGCGCAGAAGAAAAAAGGCCTCAGTTGCACGTGAACAAGCCACAGAAGAGTGATTAATTGTATGGTCATTGCACGCTGTGAGATGAGAATTTTTGTGTGAAAACAGTCACGTCTCAATGGATTTGATTCTGAAATCACTTCGCGGATGATTTTCACACACAAAAGGTGTTGGCATTTTTGTGTGAAAAGTGAAAATCTGATGAGCAATTGCATAATTGTTCAGCAACTTCCACGACAGTGACAAACAGATTCCCCCATTCAACTGAACCTTGAAACACTTTCTGCTGCTCTGCATTAATTAGCAATATTGCCCCAGCATCATCCCTCAACAGGTGAGTCAAATGCACTCACCGGATGTGAGCACAGATTCACTCTCACGGCGTCGCACGTCAGGATAAAAGGTGAGTTATGGGTCTTTGAGCATTATGACAATATCTCGTTTGCACATATTTTGCATATAAATGGAGATTGTTGAACTGAAAATCACTCAAATCCATAGAGGCTAGCGAAAAGGTGTGAAGAGGACAATGAAACTTTGTACAGAGATATTTTGAAAAGGGAAGCATTAGGTAATTTTAGCAATTTTGGGCGAAAATTTCACTTTTGCTCATTTGTGTTATTGATTTTCCTCTGAGTTCAACGATCTATTGACTGTATTCGAAAATATGTGATTCTTACACAAAGTTTGTGATCTGCAAAAAGAACTTTGGCAGTAAATCGCAAGAATCAGCTCTGGACGGAACGGTATTTTTAAGAGCAAATTAACTTTTACTACCAAAATTCCACCACGATTGAGATAATCTCTTCTCAAGTATCATCTAATCTAATGCGATGTTTGCGGAAATCATTACAGTGTTTACGATTTGATTGCTGTGATGCAATAAAAGACATCAAAAGAGACTCTCTTTAGGCTTTATGCTCCAAAATATAGTGCGGCGAATGGACAAATTTGATGGTGTCGAGTTGTAATTTTGCAAGAATCCACTCTTCACCTCTGCGCTTCCCATTGGATGTCATCGTGCACGAAAGCATTGCACAAATCCATGACGAATTGTACCATAATTTCTTTTGTGATTGTTTTCATGGCAATAAATCTCATTTATTGTCACTCCTTTGTCATCGTGTCTTGCATAGCGCAGCAAATAAAGAAGAAAAAATATGTTTCAGCAATGTCTTGTCCCACAAGAAAAGAGCCACAGGTTGACACAATTCTAACTGTTCAGCGAGCTCTTGTTCTCTCACCTGGTTTTCTTCTTCTTCTTCTTGCACGCACAAGAGGAGGAAAAATCGATTGAGAGAGTCAAATATGTTTACTCTGTGTTTTACTCTCACTCGAGGTGGTCTCACAATAGCAAATGTTGGAAGATAATTGACCATGAAAAAATTTATATTCTTGACCATTTCAGTTGATATGGCATAATTAAAGAGGGGAAAAAGTCGGAAGTCATTCGGCAAAATAAACACAATTTCGTATGAGATGAAATGAGGCTCTTTAGAGTGTCTCACTTACAATTAAACTGTAGTTTCAGCCATCAAATGGAGGCAATATTTTTGGGCGCATATTCAAAGTGAAAGGAGTCATCAATGCGTTTCAGAATTTTTAATCCAGTACACTTCACAAATATCACACAAAATGCTGAAAGTTTATGCGTTACAATTCCTAAGCATAAAGAGCACAGAAGTCAACAGATGAAGACATTTGAAGGCTTATTGTGGCATTGAGCATTTTTCTTCTTTGCTTTTGTGGCGACACCCAGAAGGCAGGAAGTATTAGAAAACCCTCATTCTGGCCAAAATACTTCCCTGGAAGATAAACGATACATGGCCAATTTTTGCGGGTCCTGCATACAATGGTAAACATGTTGGAATTAAATAATTCCACGCGGAATCCACTCATCAGTGGATTTTTGACTCTTTCCCGGGCGAGAATCCATGTGAGAACCAGCATAAGTCTCTCCAGCCGTTCCAGTTCCGTGAACAATATGGTCAGGGAAGCATATCCAGAATTTATGTGCGACAAGGGCGTTGGACTCTCATGTGTGTATTAATGCATGGGAGTTTTATGCGAGGGGTCACTAATTTAGTGAGGGATTCTCCCCTGTTTTGATGCTTTTCCCTGTTTCCAGGCAGCGAAGAATCGATTGTATAAAATTTCACTTCCTTCACGAGGCTTTCCTTCCTGTTTGAAAAGGGGTTTTGTTGTCTCAAATTAAGTGATGACTAATAATTTGCCTCGTCAAATTGCAGTGACATTCAGATAAAATTTAGATTAGACTAGAAAATTCCTATCGTTCTCGTTAAAACACTTGTCGATTGAATACAATTTGCATGCCAAAAAAAATATTATCACTCTGAAACGTTTTAATAAACCACTCTCTATGCAGAAACTATTAAAATGCTATAAATTTGTGCATGAGATTTGGGAACCGGCGAACTAATGAGCATAATCGAAAGCATTTCACCCAATTCTCTGGACAAACAAAACTCGCTCATCTGCGTGTGGACGCCGAAAAGCATTTGCATAACGAAAGTATGTCTCACAGTGCGATCTTGGCGTTGGTCGCTAATTCAATTCTGCCCTCGCTTGCCACTGATCACCAGTGACAAGGTTGGGTGAAAGAGGAGCAAGTATAAGTGGCAGGAAGTGTGTAATTAAAAAGCATCAATCTCCAAACATACGCAAATTTCCCACGAGAGCTTCCGAGGGCAATATTTGACTGAACAAGCATCACGGGAAACTGTAAAATAAAACCTCATTAGACTATCTTCAGCGAAGAGGCTTCAATTAAAATTGCCAGTCAAAGAAAAATATCATAAACATGGCAATAAATTTATGAAAAATGTCTCCCATTGTGGAGCACTTTCCATTTTCTCTCCCCCTCACGCTGTTCAGTTACATCAGAAGCATTTCCCATTTACACAAATATTGTCACTATTATGTTGTTTTCACCGCATGGAACAAAGCCACGAAATTTAATTAAAGCACTACAGTAATTTTCATATATTGGGTGTGAAAGAGGAAGAATGTCTGGTGTAACACATACTTTTCCTCGTTGATTTCTTGATCAATTTTCAACTTTATTCTGTGAAACGTGAAATAAGATATTAATTTCACGTTGCATAAATTGCAAATTTGCATAAAACTCCAGATAATTTACAAAGGAAAGTATATTAGATTATTATTTTGTCTGAGAAGCAAATCACATTCCGTTCCATTTCACGCAAATTTTCATATGTTTAAACTCCAAATTCCTACATTATATAATTCGGTTTATCATCTTTTAGAATCATATTGCAATACAGTTCCCATATCGACGCAATTATAAACTTAATTAAATGCTCCACTTGAGGAATTTCGCAAAAAATGCAAGTGGTCACTATAATATGAATAAATTTACTGAAATCCACTGCATTGCAAAGCATCTCAGAATTAGTCAACCGTTTATTTTTTCATTCACTGTGGGAAGCCAAAAATTGCGCTCAAATTGCAGCAAATAATCAGATTATTTCATTTGCTCATGCTTCAATATAAATATTTAAGTGAAATCATTGTGCAATAATTCTACCGAATTTTGTGAATTCCTATTTTGACTGCTTTACATGGCAGAAAAAAGTAGTCAAGAAAGAGAGCCTTTCGAATGACAATGGCTGGAACAAATTGGGATTTTGAGTGTGTTTCACACTTTGGTGCATATGTTTAGTTCATGAAAAAAGAGAAAAGTCTGTCAGTGTCTTTAGTATAGAGAAAAAAAACCGGCAAAGAATTGAATGCGTTTCCCTCCTTGAATGCAATTGTGTGATGATTGTGAAAAGAATTGGCAGAAAATGCGTAAAATTTCGTGTTCAAAAAAACAGTTTTTGAGAGATTCTACCCAAGAGCATTGTGAGAATTCCTTCCACACCATTGACGAATTATTCGGAGATTGTGCATTAAAATGTGGCGAAAGAATTTGCATTTGATTGTGTGGGAGAAGTTTGAGAGTTTTTCTCGCCAATTGAAAAGCACCAATAAATCAGTTTTGCGGCGTCTGCACAATTGGTTCAATGTTAGGAAAAATTCTCTCTGCCATTGAGACGACAAAGAGAGAGAAATTGTGGAGGAAAATCCAATTGTAAAACTATGTCAAACACTTTTGAACACAACAATTAATGTTTTATTACACAAACTCGGCTCATATTTTAAGGAGAAGACAATTGTGTAATGCATAGGATTTTCTCAATATTTTGTCATCGGCTCATAATATACTTTCTTCGTAGTAAATATCTTTACAATTTGCACAAGTCCAAGCACTCTGCCAATTTCTTTGCCTTCTCTCGATCATTTCATATCTCGCTTGTTGAATGTTTTATGTGTGAATGGATGAAAGTAGAATCTCGTGAAAAACCATCAATGGAGCTTCTTCGGCGGGAGAAGAGTTGGAAGGCGTGCAAAAAGAGGCGTGTGCTTTTCATATAAATATTGAATCATTTCCATTGAGTTTTTCACTCCAGGCAAAAAAAAGATGAACTTTTTGCGGTCAGGAGTGAGAGAAAGAATAATAGCTATTGTTGGAGTGATTTTCTGCAATGAAGTGATCACTTTTTACCATTTCAGCCAACATTGTGATTATTATTTGCCATTTGTCTATTTATGACATGGCATAGGTAATTATTGAGGAGGAGCGGGGAATATGGGGGAAAAGTAGTCACAATTTATGTAAATTGTAAGAAGTACGTTGATACTTGCAATTGTTAGTGGTTGCACGAAATTTCACTGAAATCCATTGCATATTTCCCATTGAAATCAAAAGTGTAATTCTCAGCGAAGATGTCTCGTGATGATATTTTTAGCGCTATGATTTTTCAACAATTTATTGTACACTTTTTTTTCGTTTGCGGCAGAACCGTATCCATTTGCTTGCGTGGTCCAATTTTTTGTGCAAGAACTCAATAGAAAGGTGTAATTTAGAATTTAATACGCAAACACTGGCTCTGGTCACTCAACTGCCATCATCTGAGTCACTTCACTTCACAGTTTCCTGAATGGAATTTCAGCTATTTTTGCTGGTCAACACTCTGTCTATCCGGGCTCTTGTTTTTTCCCTCTGATGGACCACACACTGAACGCCCAATATATCACAGGTGAAACTGTTCCACTCGCGGCGAAAGATCGTCCGACCACGAGCAGGTATCGAATGCAACTGACTCACCTGGCAATGTTTGGTGGATTAACAAGTGCTGGGAGGCACGAAAGTTCTCTTGGTGTGTCAGCAAGTCAAGCGTGAAGACCCAGAGAGGCGCTTTGCCGCCGAGCAAGACTCCGCAGCCAAGAGGCCTCCCTCCATTCAGCTGGTTTACATGGCCACAAATTAATTTTCGACACATTTTTTCGCCCAATTTGAATGCACTCTCTCGCGAAGATTAATTAATTGGATCACTCTCATTAATCCCCATGCGGGTAAGAGCAAGAGAGATTTTTTTCTGTGCCTCTCAGTCTCACTCAAAATGCGATGAATTTTCCTTTATAAAATATTCACCTCATCTCTTAAATTTCACACACACGTCAATTACGCATTTTCACGAATAATTTGTCCATAAATTTCTCCAGGAAGCTCTTAAGAGCATGTACAAAAACTAATTTTAACACATATTCCTCTCTATCGGACACCGCAACGGCTTCCTCTGCGGATTTTTTGCAGTGTAAACTTTACGATTTTCATTCACAAAACCCCGCGCGATGCAATTCATTCACAACAGCGTTCCCACAGAGCTCTGACAGAGGAACAGAGAGCAATTTTATGGGCGCTTTTTGTTTGACGGGCACTTCTTTGATTGAATTTCGATGGGATTCCTCATGCGTGGCGCGACCATTGGAAATTTCACGTGTGTTTGGGAAATTGTGAATGCGCGCGACTTAGAAAAAGACCACCTTGAATTTCTCACGTTTGAGATGCTAATCGAAGTAATGGAATAAATTACAAACTCTTAGGACTAATTTTGTGTGTTTCTTTCGAAGGCGACAAAGAAACTCCAACAGTTAATTTAGTGGAAAAAAGGTAAGAGCAATAAAGGGAGATCTTGCATTTTGGGGTAGATAAGTCACAATCCGTATGACTTTATAAAGAGTCACCAATTTCCATATAGCAATATTAATGTTTGTATTTGCAGTCTCTTCCGCTTTCGTAATCACAAGCTTCATTACAGCATTGCTACGCCTGATGTAGAATTCATGTATTCTCAGTTGCCATTAGTTGTCCACCCGTCAGAGCACAAGGAAAAAGTTAAATGGGCGTGAAATCAAAAATTTCATTATCTTTTAATACAACATTTATTTCTCAATCATATAGAAAATAGTACAAATATTTGGAGTATGAAAAGGCACGAATCTATACCATAAAATAGAAAAATCTTTCGCACAATGTGTCAATAAAATGCTTGCAAAATAAATATACTAGAAAAATCTCATTGGACCGTGCTGAATTTCTGAAGTCCTCAGGGTTCCGTGTTCAGCTGGAGATTGATGTAATCGTGATTTGGATGGTTTTCGGGAACTTTGGCGGTTTGCTCATGATGGAGATCTTCGTTGCACTCTTTGATGGTCCTGTTAAAGTTGCGAATTGTTTCTTGAGTTTGGAGATCAAGTTCCGAGAAGGCGACGTCGGAATTGCTTATTGACGTGTCTTTGGCATTCTTGTCAGAGTCTGGAGAAGTTTCGTCATTGATCACTGGCGGAGTTGTGGCTTTGAAGGAGGTACACAAATCGCCAGAGTCTCTCTTATTCTTGCTGTACAAAGTGTCACTTCTCTGGATTTTGATGGGCTGAACTGTTACGGGAAAATCCGTTTCTTTGGCCTCTTCAATCGTGTTGAGTCCATTGAAGTTCAAATAGTCATGATTGATTGTTGGAGACACTGAAACAGAGAGAAGAAGATCAGTTTATCAAATGTACAATTTTCTTGAGAATAAGTTTTTGATTCTCACCTGCAGCAGAAGATCCGTAGACTGGCACGTTTGATGGAAAGAGTACATAGTGATGGTCAGTCGGTGGTTGAGAAACCACTCTTGGAGCTGGAGGCACTGAGTAGTTTTCCATGAGGCTTCCAGGAACTCCAACCCGGCAATTGTACATCTGTCGACGATCTTCATGATCTGAGTGAGTTCCGCTGTCTCCCAAGCTTGTGCCACTGCAAACACTTCCAGTACTCATCCTTCCTGACGACGAGGAACTCGAGACACTCTGCAAACTCAGACTACTTATTGGTCTTTGGCTATTGGATCCCCCGGAAACTTCCCGTTCACACTTCTCATGACTTTTGCTTCTAGTGAACAGGCGTTTGAATCTCTCGAATGGCGTTGGTCTCTTCATGTCTTTCTCCATGCGACTTTGGATCCTCTCGTACTCATCTCGCATCTCTTGCAGCTGCTGCTGCTTATCCTTAAAACTCTGCTGAACATCATTGCGATTCTGCCAAGTGGACACCAACTGTTCCACCTCTGTAATTGTGAATACATTGTTCTTGAAATCATTGATGATCTCAAGTAGTTCATCGTCCACGCTCACTTTCGACGTATCACTTCCTTGTCTTTTCAGTGTGCCCGACCTGCTTCCATCATCACGACGCTTGAATGTGAATCTCATGTGAGAATCGTGTGTGCTCGGAGACATCTTAGCAATAGGCGAGATGATAGTGTCGTTCACATAGCTTGGTTCAACGGGTCTGTTTGAGGGATGCGTGAGATAGTTCGGAAAGTCCTGCTGCTGAAGCGTCACCGGACGATTAGAGGGCTGGACGAGGTAATCCGACAATGGACCATCGCTCACGGCCTCTTCCAGCAGATTGGAACACTCCTGGCTGAAATCGTCCGTCTTGTTGCAATCTTTGGACTCATAATAGGCAGGTTCGTTGATCCTCAGTTCATTTGTCATCACTTCATCTTCTGAAATCCTTATTCCGGAAAATCCGTCACAAACATCCTCGCCACAGTTTGACTTGGTCTCAACGTTGATGTAATTGAGATTCGTGACTGCATTGACTGGACCGTAGGATCCGTGATCGCTCGAACTGCTGCTGCCTGTCATTTCCATGTACTCTGGCACCTTCGTTGAGGTTTCCTCTGCCTTCTTGGGCGTTGTTGAGGGTGGTCTTGATGCTTTAATCTCACTCTTCAAATCCACAATTACTTTGTTGCTGGTTGAGTCACTGATGCCTTTGAAGTAGTGATACATCGTCGTGAACTCGTGCATCTGAGTGAAGTTTTTCAGGATATCAATTAGTTTGACGTGTCCTTCGAGCTCTGCCAAATCAAGAGGAGTTTTTCCGTTTACATTTCGTACAGATGTTGCCACGTCACCTCCTAAGAAGTACAAAAAATTACAAATGAATTATATGTTTATCGTTCTCAAAGTCCACCAAAATACCAACCTGGACAGTCCAGAAGTTGCATTGAGAGCTTCTCAAGACCCCACTTAGCAGCGAAGTGGAGCAACGTAGGATACTCTTCGGGACTGCTCTCGCGATTGGCCAGAAATCCTCCTTTGTGATCTCCAGCGAGAAGGTGAAAATTCGGCGGTATGTTCTTCTGGAATGCTTGCAGCAGACTTCCATCCAGACGTTCTCGATCAACGGAGGAAATTCCCAAAGACTGACAAATGAATTCAAGCGGAGAATCTTGAGCCTTCAGGATCTGTTCCATTTCCCTCAAACGACTTTCACACTTAATAGGTCGACTTCCCAATTCGTTGCCATTCTTCTCGATGTGAATTTCAATCATCATGGAGACTTCCATGCAAGATTCGGGAACGCTGAATTGAAGAGTGTACGGATTTCGTCTTTTCACTCCTGGAACTTCGAGCATTTCTCCTGTCTTCTCAATCTTCACAACCACGTTGTCTTCGAGCTTGAGTGGCTCAGTCAGTAAGGCAACAACCTTATTCTGGGACATTCGCAGCTTCCTCGGCAGCACTGTGAAAGCATCGTGGGTGGATTGAGGAGCCAGAGATGAGGTGACTGAGTTACTGAGTGGTTGATCTCGAAGAGCCGGACCCAGAATATCCGTTGCAATGCCCAAGACATTTCCCACGAAGGACTGATCTTTGCTGCGCACGACACACCTGCGCCACTGCTTGAAGTTGGGCAGAGCCTGGCGATGAATGTCCAGGACTCGCAGCTCGTCAATCTCCAGCAGCAGTCCCAGAACCTTCTCGGGACGGAGTATCGCCGACAGCTGAGTCATTAATTGGGAGTGTGGCAATGCCAAGAGTGATGGGCAAATTATGACAATTTGTAGCTTTGTCGATAAGCATCTGCTAACGATGTCCGCTGACAGATTTCCATCCTCTATCTTGACATGGAGAAAACTGTGTGGAAAAAGGGGGAAACATGAGTGATTTATTGGTGTGTCTCATCAAAAAATTTGCACTCACTTGAATGCGATGCGTCCTCGTTGCTTGGTGATCTTGTCGAAGCGAGTCTTGAGATAGTTGGCCCACAGGATCGCCGGTTCGCTCTGGCGCGACGTAACAATCAGTATGTCATCCATATTTCTCCCACTAGTGATGCATTTAGAGCCTGTAACCATAAAATGCCATGTCAGTGATATATTGCGTAAACATTCCCTGCGTGTGATATTTCGCTCCAGCGCGAAAGATATGACTAATTATTTGCAGGAATATTGAGAGATGATGAGAACTTATATAGCTTCAGACTTGTTGAGAGAATTTTATGTTACCCGAAGGGGGGTTTGGGGAGATAAATTTATTGCAAAATAATAATTTTACTGTTGTGTAAATTTTGTGACAATGAAATTTGTCATTATAAGCATGATGCTAGCTTATGATTTTTCACTGGAAAATATCGTGCAGATAAATCGTATGGTTGAGAAGAATTGAGTGTCACTTGAATGTTTATGCTTCTGTTCATGGCTTAAGCAAAATGTGTCTCCAAATAAATATACAAATGTCTGCGACAAAGCGCACATTGGCCTTGATGTGTTCATCAATCTCCGTGACAAATTGTACAAGATATCGCGCAATTTTACACAAATTCACTCGGGGGTTTTTCTCAAGATGAAATCCTGATGAATAAGAGCTGATATTTTCTCAGAAGAGAACACTATTGCACTCACAAGGGAGGAAGCAACAGTCTTAGACAAGATGCTTCGCTCTGGCGGTCACAAAAGAGCACCCACGGTGAACTCAAGACGCCGAAACAGTCGCAAGTGAACTAAGGAGCTTCCTCTGAATTTTGCAGTCATCCACCCGTTTGCAGTATAATTCTCAACAATAGCCATTTCGTTTCTCCATGCGAGGGAAGTACATGTGCAGAAAGAGGAACATTAATATGAAACCGCGCGCGCAAAATCTGCCTCGTGAGATACGACTCGTGTATGTGGGGAAAGAAAGGAAGTGGGACCGATAGTGAGGCGACAGAGAAGCCACATGTGAGATGTAATAATAATTCTGGAAATATTAAAATATTGCATACGGGAGAAAAAAGGCCATGAAGCAAATTTCCTCTCTTTCTCTCTGAGATCGAGACATAAACAACTTCCAGAGACTCTTTGGCTTCTGTCACTCCAATGAACCGAGAAATATCCCGAAATTTATTGGTATACTGATAAGGAGTCCAATCGTTGTTACATTTCTCGATTTCTCTCTAAACTCTTAATGTGCCGGAACTATGGTTGCGATGGAGGGAAATTAGTAATTTACAATTTAGCTGTGACACATTTTTGCGGAGTATCGTGTGAAATGTTGGCTTGTGGGATGAATTGAAGCGGGAAGAAATGACCCAATTTCACGATCAGAAGCAAATTGGTTAGTCTAATAAATTCTTAATTCAATGATATAATTATTTTAATACTAATGATAAACTTTGCAACTGAATTACATATGAATTTCTAAGTGGAAGTTAGTAGAAATTTAATAGTAAATTTATCACAAAATAATTTGTATTTCAACTAATCAATTAAAGAAAAAACTACTAATAAAAGACTCAGTCAATGCACTAAAAAACCTCCCTAATTTAAATTGTGGTGACCACTTATTGTGTTGTGCCCTCGTTTATGCACCGAAATTATGATGAAGAGTTGTGGTGGTAAAAGTGTGTTGCGCGCAAAGTGCATAACAGCGAAACTTCCACATATTATTTAATAATAAATTTAAAGAGATAATAGAGTCAACTAGTGGCTTCCTGTCTTACAATTCCCGTCAGTTGGATTATTTCTTCATTTTCCTCCTCTGTTTCATCTTTAGCGCATCTTTTGACTCTCTTGCATCCACTCTCTGACGATGTGGTGGATCTTCAGTGGAATTGTGCGATCATTCTAATTTTCCAGTCCACGAAAAGACAAACAAACAGTGAATAACTCAAGATTACAGAAGATCTCAAGACATTGATAAATCACGAGGAAATATTCTTTCGCTGGTGGACATAAAATTCTCCATTCTCGAATATTGTTATGGGAAATTCGAGCGTGAAAAGAATGCATAAGGAAGTGGAAGTTCGTTGAACAGTTTTCTATTTTTAAGAGAGAAAATAGAGTGTGTCTGAAATAATTAAATATGTTCAGAAAGCACGAGGACACGATATAGAAGAAAAAAAAACACCACGAGGAGAACTTCAGTCGCCCAAAATGGGCGGCCGATCATTTCTTATGCCGGAAATGATTATGCCTCGGTGATTGACATCCAGCGGCTTTTCTCCATCCAGCACGATTGTTTCGGGGTGCACGTGCTCCAATCATAATTACCACAAACTTTGAATAAATCTTTCGGAAGAAGTTGATTGATTCACGACTGTTCACGCAGAGGTGAAAGGGAGAAGGAAATTAACACTCTCGATATCGCACGTTCTGATGTCGTAAATATTTGCAGAACTTATTGGAAACTATAAATAAATTACAATACAGGAAGTAGTTGTTAAATTGATGCATCGCGAGGAAGAGTGGCCTTCTCAGAAGTTTCTCAATCAATATCGATGCGTCTTTGATGCTTCAGACCACAGAAAAAATACGAAATCAATACTGAGTCATACAGAGATTTATGGTGTTATATTTTACTCACAAAGATAAGATTTCTTTGTTTACTGATTTTCTGAAGTGGAATAATTTGGCGGCAAATTATATGTTTGCAAACAACATCCAAATAAATTTCACATTTTACTGGACACTGTCTTGAATTGTGTATTCATTGCGATGATTGTCTGCGTATCAGTCATTTGGAAAATAAAAGAGACCGCATTTGGCGGCTTTTGCCTTTTGTAGGACGATAAATATTCCCCCTCATTGCACATCAAATGCATCACATTTGAGAAGATGAGACACTAGAACTGGCTCATTTAGGAATCCTATTCTTTTTATTTGTAATAATATTTTTGTGGTTAAATTAGTGAAGAAGAGACGAAAACGGAAAGAATCACAACACCCAGTCAGAGGAAAAGCTGGTAATGGAAGACGATCCAAAGTGATTCCATTCGAGATTTTGTTTACTTCATAGGCAGAATATTTTCATTAAAAGGTTTATTGTTATTGAAATCACGTCAATCTAGCTGAAGGATGGTTGAAAAACACACAGCTTCAGTGAGCAAATGAATATTGCCCATCCTAATATTTACTTATTTCGCTGAATGATTCAAAATAATAATGGTGGATGAAGAATGTATAATTATTTAAAACATTTTTGCTGATTTTTTTCAGTTATGTTGGAATTCACTATAGCATCAAACTTTGTATTCAGCAAATGGTAAATTGAAAATTGGACACGTGAATTTATTCATTTGATAAAATGAATGGATTAAATTCATAAAGTAGTGACATAAATTCCATCCGTTGAATGCGAAACAAGCTAAAATTTTTCAATGGGATGCATTTTGTGCTAATGTCTAAAGTCCCCAAGCGAGTGTTTCATGAATACAAAATTGTTATTTCATTCTGACTGACACTTTTTTGGTCTTTTTCCCTAATTTATGATGCTTCTAATTTAAGTGATGTATTTGTGAGGGTGATGCTGTGCCCATTTTGTCGCTCCTTCCTTCAGAGTGGCGAGTTTTTTCCGTTGGCACAGTCGAGCAAAAAAATCCGATTTACCATTTGCACATCTGGATCCCTCCTTCAATTTGCACCATTGAGGCTTAAGTGCTTCGAAATTTGAGTGAAAGATGTGCAATGTGCTTCGTTCTTGACAATTTTAATGCCCATTCAAGCGCCTGTGGTGGTATTTATAGAAAAATTCCCCATTCTTCACAAAAAAAAGAAGCTCAAGAGACTCTCAATGGTGCCAGGAAGATGCATGTTCTTGGCTTTCATTCACAACAAATCGTCTTCAATTGCACGTTGATTCATATTGCTGGGAAGGGAGGAGATAGGGAAGAGGATTTCCACAGATTTTCTTGGGTTTTCTCGTTCACTATTCACTCTATGGAGAAGTCATAGCCACTCGGTTGCATTTCATGAGGAATTGAGAAGAAGTAATTATGCTCAAGTAAGAGATACTTGAATTTTTCATTACAATTTTGAAGAGGGAAGAACCAATTTGGTATATAAAAGTTTCTCGATTTATCTGTTTTTAAATACACTTCACAAAATCCACTTCAAGGAAGACTTTTTCCTCAAATTGCACTTAAATTGATTGATTACAGAAATTACAGCCAGACAAGAATTAGTCAAATTATTGGTGAAAAACGTGAAAAATCATAACGCGAGCCATATTTGCTACAAATTAAATAATTTCAATCCGTTGAAATGCAATCACTGAAGGTTTAATTTTCCAATTAACATTTCGCAACACTTCATTTGGAAGAATTTCACTCCCGAAGCCTGAACGTACCACAAATTACTCCGAAAGGCGCGTCAAATTATTATCCTTCAGCGCACTGTCGCTCACGGTGAGGGAAAACAAACAATCCGTGAGACGTCCACGGTGGATTTGTTAATTCTGTCCCGAGAGTCAAAAGTGAATTGGAGATTGGGTGACAAATTAAAATTTCATAAGCGTGCTGAGGGTATGACTTTTTCTTCTCACTGTGGTTAATCCCGTCTTCTTGGCGAACACCTTCCTCGATTTGTGTCTTGCACGTCAATGTTTTGTCTACCTGCGACCGCCGTCGAGGAGGTGTTTTGGTGCGAAGACAAGTGTTTTTTGTCCCCAGGGCAAGGGTGTGTGATTTCCAATTGTTGCGCCTTGAACGGGTGGAGGGGGGAGCTCTTCAGGTGGAAGAAGACACAGTGAAATGATAATTACATTAGACAAACACCCATCTAAGACACAATAAGTGTTTCCAAACTACAAAAAGAGGAAATGCTGTGTGATGTGCATCATGAGTCTCTCGCCTTCCCTCTCGCACGCACTCACCGTCTCCGTTCCACCCTCGTGACCGTCAATACGGGTAAGGTGAAAGAGTACAGGCAGAAAGTCAAAGAGGAAGGAAAGGAAGCACATCCAAATCCCATTGACTACGTGCCTCAATTACATATTGGGGACAAATTTGAGAGGCACATCGCGCGCCCCTTCTCCCACGATTCCCAAACAATTATGCCCGGAAAGACACTCTCTAGAGAGGCACAGTGTAATTAATTTAATCGGAACCCCAAGAGGCCAATAATTGCCACAACTCAATACATGAGTCGCGTTGATTTGCTGCAAAAGGATGTCGATGTTCACATCGAAACATTGAAATTCCGAGGGCGTAGAACAATTGGCGCCAAATGATTAAATTGTGGCTGAACATTACATGATATTGAGCATAATCATTTTCTACGCAGTCACAAAATATTGATAAGTGCTGACTAAACGTCTTTGTTGCGCAAATTTCTATCGCCACCAGCTAAGACGCTGCTGAGTCTCAAGAAGGAAACACTTAGAGACGGCCCATTATCATCAATTTGCTTCTTGACTTGGCAGCGTCTCGTGATGAAATTAAATTCGCTGTAAGTGATAAAAGCGAGGCACCAACATGAATCTGGGGACAGAGTTATGGACTTACCCTTTCGCATGGTGGAACTGCATGAAGGGCTCTGAGATGAAGTCGGTGGCTTCGGGGCGGGCATTTTAGGAACCTGTGTGAAATAATAAGAAGATTTCTGGTGAGAAGAAAGCTCCATCAGAGCGCATTGAACAGTGAATAAGGCAATTTCAGCGGATGATTTGCAATCAAAACAAAAACACCCGCATTTATCCCATCGACTATACTGACCCAATTTCCATCGAATCATAAACACACTCACCTCATCTGAGAAAGAGCCACACCTCGTGCGCTCCTTGTGCGTGAAGGTTCCGATGGAGTGGCGTCTGAGGCCAGAAGAACTGCTTCCGTCGGTGACATCTCCCACGCGCGGGATGTGAAAGTCGATATTTTGGAAGTTGCTACACAATGGTGGTATTTTTGGCACCGGAAAGAGAATCATTTCATCCGTTAGCACTTCCCTCACAATGGTGCGCGATGGAGGAAAGATTTGATACTCACTTGTGACGGTGATCGGAAAGGAAGACGTCATCGCTTCCGCCATAAGAGATGGATTCATTATAGGAGCCGAGGCGGTGACGGAAGTGGGTGGGATTGGGCCTGCATTCGCCCATGATGACGCCCTGGGAGTAGGAGACACTGGAAGTCGTTGAGCTCTTGGAGCGGATCAGTGACCTGAGGCTGCCCCTGCGACTGCCGCCCAGGGAAACTGTGTCCGACGCTGTTGGACTCGGAAATACCTTCGCCTTGGACGGTGATCCTGCATTGAGCTTCGATGAGCTGCTCCTCTTGCGAAAGAATGAGAATGTCGCCTTACCCGGTGACTCAGGGCTCTTTGAACACTCGCCAACATTGTTGAAATAATAGGGATTATCTGAAATGGAGGGAGATTGTGAAAGTGAGGCGTTTTATAATTTCTTCATCTCTCAGACATTTATCATGGTTTCACAATGTTGTGATAAACTGATTTGTCCCTTTAACTGATTAGCTGTCCTAAAACATCTTTGATATTTTGAAAACGAATGGAAATTTGTACAATAAATCCAATATTTTATTATTTATATCAGAATAGACATCTACTCAATAAATTCCTCACAAGTGGGCAATAAAATGTTCATTGAATCCTTTCCTTTTTCATGTCAATAACTATACAAAGGACGCTCCGAAATCATCCTTCTTCGGAAACCCGTGCAACATGAGACATCTCAATGGGTTTCCTTCATCTCCATGTATTTCCGTACCTTTGACTATTGCACAATTCATTGTGTTCAAGGATACGAGACTCATTTTGCTCTCAACTTTCTCAGACCCTCGTCTTTGGCACCAAATTCACATCTTCTCACCAGTAAATGCCAAATAAATGACAAGAAAATCGCTTTCACAGATGCATGCCAAGGGAAAATGGAGAAAAACAGCGCGGAGAGAGAGATACTCAAGTGATCTGAACGGATGGAAAGTGTCGAGTGAACTAAATGAGTGTCTATGTGAACTCTCAATAAATATGCTAGAGAGATGCTACCATGAGTTGACTGTTGATTTCTGGATGAGCGACAGCAGCACAAATTACATCGTGGCTTCCCTCTTTCGGCGGAGGCCCTCGTGGCCGAGGGAGTCAGGGCACGGGACTGATTGAGACTAATGACAGGGAAAGAGATGGGGAGAGAATCCCTCAATTACTCTACACGCATCGGTGCAACGGGAACAACTCTGGACTCACAATTTCATTCATTCGCCCATTCCTTCACTTGGCGCGCTTTTATTGAATCTCATTGACTTGATACTTAGCACTATTGTTCAACCAATTTCACTTTCTGTCTCTTCAAGAGATTCATTGGACGACAATCATCCAAATCTGTGGTGGTCTTCTCGCCCATAAATCCCGCCAGATCTGCAAATCGAGGGGTGGATAACTAATCATGCTGTTGCTTGTTTCAAAGAGTGAATGAAATTGACATGAAATAGGATGATTTCGCCCACTTTTCCATCCCCTAAAATATCCAATTCAGACATCTAGATTGCTATAAGAACAAAAAAAAAAGTATGATAGAATCTCCACTTTCGCCTGAAAAGGAGCCTCAACCCGGATTACTCACGGCTTACAGGGACTCAGGCCGCAAATCTCCTTGAGTTTGTCTGTGTCTTGCATCGTCCATGAACATCTTGAGCGTATTATCGCGTCGAAATGTAAATAGACAAACACACCCCGAGAAGAGGGCGAGAATCCGAATCTGCCCCATCGCATGTGATATTTTGTGTGGAAATCATATTGTAATTCCTCCATAAATCTGTTTAACAGATGTCCCTTTTTCCTGTTTACTCTTCTGTTTATTTTATTTCCATCATTCTCCCACTCCGCCTTTTTTTGCCTCATCCGCGGAGCCCTTCTCCGGTGCATCAGCGGCAAGCACGCGTCACTGAAATCACATTTGTCGACCTTTATCGAGGGTGGAATTATGGATAAACAGACAGGGAGAAGTGCATCAAAAAATAATCATATCATTTCCGACTCAAATGCAGACACGGAACGATGAGTTCAGCACCTGACACGAGGTATCTCCAGATATTTTCTACATGGCAATGTTGAGTGATCCTCAAAAGTGGCCCAATTTTATAATGGCTTCCGCCAATGATTGCTTTGAAAATGTGGTGAAGAGAGAAATATTTCGAAATGTCTTAATTGGGAATATGAGAAAAATCCTGTATTGCATTACATTGTAAATGTTTCTTCATTTCAACATTATATTCTCTCTCTAAATTGTCTTATAAAATAAGATGTTGATTTCGAAAATGCGTGGAGAATATTTAATGGGTGTTTATAGGATTCTGAAGTGCTTAAGGTTCATATAAGATTATATTTTCATTACTATGTATGTATATCTACTATTTTGTCTCATTTATTACATATAAAAGTATGTTTATTTACCAAATTTTCAACATAGCCAAGATGAAATTTTTCACACATAACAAATGATGAGGGTGTAAATCTATCCTTATAGAAAGAATTTTCAGGTACTCACCCACAGACATTTCTGTGTCGCTGCCAGTGAATATGAGAAAGTCTTTGGATGTCTTGTAATTGGACACAAAATCACACTTCCGCCGGAAAATGTTGCACCGTGGTTAGATTTTTAATATGCCCTCTGTAAGATGATTTTTGTCGTGATGAGTTTGATGCAAAATCAAGAGTATAAGAGTATAAGATTTCCCTACGGAATGCCTTATAATAGTGCGTCAGATGGTTCATTGAACGAATAGTTTGGAAAATGAAAAGCATTTCTGTTTACAAAGACTGCGCCGGAGCATCGAGCGAAATTGCGAGATTGCGATCGAGAAATTGATGTTTGTGTATGGAAAAGGCTTCTGGAATGGCATTCTGGACTTCTCTTCTGTCTCCTCCGCAGAATGCGAAAGGGGGAGAGAGCATTTAAAAATGGAAAAGCCATATACTCTTTCTGCTCAGAGATTGCGCATATTTTCACGATGGCACGAGCCGAGGAATAGTGCTACGGCCAAGTGAGTTACAGCGACTCATTTATTTTCATAATGAAAAGTGTTGTATATTTTTCATTGAAGATGAAAAACGTGCATGAGAAAATGAAGGAGTTGAATTAGGCTTTTTTCCCCCCTCAATTCCCGACGCCCGGTGTTTCAGTAGAATTCTAATTTTGGACTTTTCACTATACACTCGCACGCCCCGTGAATTAGGGTGCAATGAATCTACTCTGTGAAATTTTACTGCTCCTTCATGAGTTTTTCCTCTTCTCGATCACTTGACTGTTTTGTGTTGCAGCGACGGGGAATTTATGCGATCGCTGTCTCTTGATCTTCACTGGTCATTGAGAAGTTGAGTCTCAATGACAGAAATTCATACAAAAATTCACACTGAATACTGATGAACGTCGGAATTCCATGTCTTCTGCATTCTTGGGATACAATATGATCATTTGAAGATCGCGTCTCGCTCAAAAGGGCACATATCCTCACTTTGTTTTCAGTATAGAAGGAGTGTTGCCCAGAAATTTGAGACTTTTTTCAATGAAATGCAGCCCTCGAAATGCCTTTTTTTCTTGTCTTCTCCCAACGACAAACGCTCTGCAACATGTGTGCCGAAAAAGTGCGTCTTACAAGAATTTCCCTCCAAAATATTTGCGCTTCACAAAGGCTCTAACGAGAGTATGAGAATTTTGTATGAGTGGATCGACAATTATTCATGAAATTTCTATTTGGTGAAAATGACATCATTCAGTCAGTGCTATTTTTGCAGGTGGAATATTGCGATCACTTGAAGCTCTTTTGGCAGAGAGACGTCCTAAACAGATGAAATTTATGGAATGACAGACTACAATGTCTGAAATCCGTTCGAAGATCACGGTGAAGATCCCCATTTACGTACTGACATTAAATTGTCACATGGTGTCTATTTTTGCAACCTATGAGATCTATCGGAAAATTCCAATTTTTCCGCTTATTTCACTGACAATAAGACAATACTTTAGTCGGCATACACTGTGCGGAGGCGCGATGAGAGGAATGCAGATTGTGCTTTTGATCTTCAAGTACGAGAGGACTGCGAGTGGCGAGATAAAGAAATGCTGATGAGAATGATCGCAATTTGTATTTGATAGGATAATTGGTTGCGACTCGCTATGTATCCCACGTCCATTTGCGATAAAATATACTTGAGAGCGCGATCGCACACGATCGTCAGAAAGAATTTGACGAATGTGAACACAAACGTAAATTAAATCACCATTTACATGTTTAATGTTGAAATTTATAGTGAGATCACACACATAAGTCACCCGAAGAGGATCACAATTAATTTATTCCTGATGCGAACGCTACAAAGTATCTGGATAAACTAAATACTGCCAACAACAAATTAAATCTGTTTTCCCCGCTCTCGGCAAATACTCAAAACTGTTTGTGTCGTCGTTCCTCGAGCCATTCTTCCCTCCTTGTCTGGCACACTGGCATGTGAGATTGTGCCACAAAAGTGTAGGAGTCGACGCAGTGTGATCATATGTGTGTACATTTTTTTAAAGCGCGCCTCCAACAGTGGCAGTGACTGAATTTATTTCAGCAACGCTTCTCGGCTTCTGCAGGCAATCTCGGCTGAACCTGCGCTCATTGAGAAGGGAAGAGATCTCAGTCTCGTCTCATATACTATCGAATGAGAGGAGAAAATGTCTAATTTTACATACAACACACTCTTTTGGGATTCGACAGTTCAGTGAACGTCTTCTTTTTTCGGCGCAAACACGTCACACTTCGCATTGAAATCTCAGAGATTACAAGCATCCTCAGGAAAAGGACTCAAATTCACAAGCACTGTAAATTTGAGCTCAAATAATTTAAAATAAGAATAAACGGAAACTACACAGATTTATAAACTTGTCAACAATCTGTACATATAATATGTATATTTCAGCACCTTGAAAATTTGATGAAAGACATCTAATTTTGAACTTATTTTAATAAAACGATAACAGATGCATAATAATTTTGTGAAATTTCTTCATCCAATTCATATTGAATTCTAACATTAATGCATGTGCAATCTCACCTTATTTATGGCCATTCTACAGAAATGAATCAAGTGCACAACCCAGAAATATACTCTCCTGACAAATTTCACTCAGGATTTACGACACAGGACAGCAAAAGTCTCATGTGGGAAGTTACAAATATAGCAATTATTTAATATTTCGCGTGTTTTTACAAAAAAGTGAATTATTTCATACATTATGGAAGAAAAGACCATTAACGTGACATGACACGGATCTCTATGTGGCTGACAGAGATTTTGGGGGCACTTTCATCGGGGGTTCGGATTGTGCGGCGAGTTAGGAATCACTGGTGGGCTGTGAGTGCAGCAGCACTTGCTCCTGCAGCTCTCCCGGTGAGAAAACACCCTTCTCTGTGATGATGCCAGAGATGAGAGCGGCCGGGGTGACATCGAAGGCTGGATTCCAGCACGTGATGCCGGGCGCGGCGATCCGGTGCTCCCCGACGTGCGTCATCTCGCGATCTGGCCGCTCCTCAATGATTATGTGGTCGCCGCACGAGATCTTCAGGTCGATAGACGTGAGCGGAGCGGCGATGTAGAAAGGCACGCCGTGATGCTTCGCCACCACGGCGATCTGGTACGTGCCAATCTTGTTGGCCGTGTCACCGTTCGCGGCCACCCGGTCGGCGCCCACCACAACAGCCCCAATGTTGCGACAGCGAAACAGGGCGGCCACCATGCTGTCCAGGACAAGCGTTGCCGGAAGCTTGTCGTGCACCAACTCGAAGGCCGTGAGTCGGGCGCCTTGGTTGTACGGACGCGTTTCCGTGCAGTAAACGTGCTCTGAAATGCCAGAAAGAGATCATTTCTCGGTTAGCAATGCATTCATGGAACAGCTGAAATCGAGAAAAGTGATGTGGGAAGATTGCCCAACATGGAAATTATAGCTTTATGCTTATGCATTTAATCTATAACAAACTATTTGATTATGCTAAACATGCTAAAAGTATAAATTAAGTATGTAAACAATACGCGACGTTGAGAAGCAAAGTGAGGATTCTCACTCATCACGCGTACAGCTCAATTACATGAATTGAATTTTTCAGCAATCCTCAGACCATCATCAAGATGACAAGCCGAGAAATTCCTGAGCATGAATTCCCCACCTATTGTTTATGACTGTTAGCGTCTGAAGCGACTTGGGGAGGAGAGAACTGTGTGCCAAAATCTCTAATTTATTCATTTGCCATGTGCAATCCTGCTGTCAACCCCACATCTTGCCTCCTATATCTCATTCCTAATGCACTTTCGTGCTCTGACAATCACCTTCCCATGCTCAAGTCACTTTCCTCACACATACTTTACCTAATCGCTTCAGTTCGTGCAATTTTCTCACAACGCCCAGCGCCGTTCCGTACCTAAAGGCCCGAGGTCACGAAGGAGATGCGAGATGTGGAGATTTGTAATGTGAGAAAGACATGCAAAAATCAATAGATTGTGAATTTTTAATTGACATTAATTATTGTAAATCGCTCATTACCCGGCTGTCGCTAATGACCCCGTGTTGCAGTGCGTTAAGACACGGATTGGTCCATCGCCAGAGACATTAGATAAAATTGCAGCTGCACCGTGAGTGCCAATCGCCATGTTATCTGAAATATCTTTCTGAAGCATCGCTTCTGTGGCCGCCAAAAACCTAAATTAATGACAAATCGACATTTTCAGTCCTTCTTTTCCCACTGAAAAAATTTGCGCGGCGCTCAATTTACCTCTGTTTCATGTCTGACACAGACACTGAGTCATTCTTGGCCAAATCATTAGCCAGAGCGATCATCTCTTCGGCAGCGCCCTTCATATTCACAGCCGTCGGTCGACTGGACACTAAATAGTTCAATTTGCCCTCAATCTCCTGGCGCAGCGTCTTTTTGCTCTCATACTCCTCTGGATAGATTTCCACAGCCAAGGACAGGCACCCCACAATGGCAATTGCAGGAGCCCCACGAACCTGCGGAGATAATGAAATGTTCTCTTTATTCCACAGAAACAGGTCACATAAAGAGCAAATGAATATTCCATAAACCCAAAACTTCTGTCTCTCAATAAAATATCTTGTGGTTTAAAAACTACGACAATCGATCAAATATTATACAAAGTTCTATCTTTTGCTTAATTCGCCAGTCAAATGCCAAGATATTAAATTTTATAATTGTGTTTTAATCGTTTGTTTAATTATCCTTAACCATACCAAAATATTATTCTCAATAAATCAACTATCACTTCCCTTAAAAGCTTTCTTGGCATTTTATCTAAATACAATTGCAGAGCATCTGTGCCAAAATGCCCAGAAAGCTCTATTAACATCTTCGTCGAGTTTGGTTAATTGCCTCAAAAAGTGTTATATTGTCTTATGCTGACATGTCAATTCATTTGGCGACAAATCAAAAGTGTTATGTCTTCATATCCTTTTCAGCTACTCACAAGAATAAATAAATAAAGCATTCAGTGCATATTAATATTAAAAAAAAAATGTAAATTCAGACGTCAGCAAAATGCAATTTACGGCTGGGAGAAAATTCATCTCCAACCTTGATAGTATATTGTCTGGGTATTTGCACTGTCTCGTAAATCAAAGAGACTGATTCCTAGTAAGAGGGATTTACTAGGAGATGAAGAAACGTCATGAGTTGTTTGATGGGCAAATAGGATGATGTGCGGCTTTGGTGAATGATAAGGCATCATGATACATGATACATTGTACTAATTGATACAATGTAGCTGTTCAAAGGCGCTCTTGCAGGAAATGTGCATCACCTGCATTTTGTTGATCACCCGCCAGCCATCCTCCACTCCTTTCACGGCAATGTACTTGGACTGCACGGGCAGTAGCAGCTGATCCAGGATTTCCAGAGTCCCCTTATCATACCGAATTGACTGGAGTGTCATTGTCTGGACGAAGAGAAAATATATATGCAAGAGTTTTGAGGTCGAATTCTTCTTGATTTTGAGTAAGATGAAAAAAAAGCGCTTCGCGCAGTTGATTCACCTTTTTGGCTGATACGGGAGGAAGAATGAAAAATTAATATGTTCACACTCGACAGATATAAAGTATATATCTCCTGTGATCGGTCACAAAAATAAATAATTTTCACGGTTGGATAACTTGCTGCTATAAATAGTTCATTTATGCAGAGCACACATATTTTTTTTAAAGCCACTGTCAAAGTAAATCAGCCGGAAGAAACATTTTGCAAACACACTCTCGCATTGATTGAGACAAGATTGATTTTTGGTAGTCTCTTTGCCACTAATCCCATAAAGGAAACACACAGTAAATGGCCCACTCGAAGCCACTTGCAAGAAATTGCCCTGTGTTCACGTCTCTTCCGAATGATAACAGCGAGCAGTGCAATAAAGTGGAGCACCACTGAAATGAGCGATATACTAGTGATAGCAACACGGCCGAAACATGTGATAATGTGGGCACGCAAATTGAAACTGCGGTGCGAAAAAGGGAGAACCAAAATAAATCTGCCGACCGATTGTCACTGTGACGACGAATGGAAGCGGAAACACGTGTACGTCAGACAGATGTCAGGCAAAGTGGCGCCAGATGGCGCCACTAACGCCAGCGCATGATAAGAATGTGTGCGTGATATAAGGCTAGTCAAGGCGCTGAAAATTTCACGTGAAACTTTGAAACCCAGAGATCCAACGCGCCATACTTAAAATAATGAAAGGAGAAAGCAAGATCATACTCTGATTTTTTTTCTTTCAAGAAGCTAAGAACTCGTGCTTTTAATTGCTCAACATTGGAATAAATTTATTCATCGATTAAATCGTGCCACGCTACAACATCATGTGTTGCGACTAAGATTCAGCCACAGGGCATCATTTATTCTTCTTCGGCCGTGAGAATGGCTCTGAAGCTGAACGGCTGGAATAGGTAGCCGAGACCCTCATAGAACTTGCTCATGAACTCCACCCAGTGCAGACGGAGGGTGTGCAAGAAGGCAGACAAGCCCTCCATCATCACGAGAATGGCGAGCGTGAGCACAGCCCAGGCGGCGAAGATGGCCCAGAGCATCACTGCGCCAGCGTAGCTACTCTGCTTGAGGCCCATCTGGAACACCATGTTCCACAGCACCTCGGACAGCTCTGCAGATGGAGAGAGAGAGAGAGAGAGATGTTAGAAACTACACTCCGCCACGCGTGGACAGTGTGAGACTTACGTGCGTGAGCCAGAGACAGAGCCCACAGTCGGAGGTAGGAAGCTGTGTGGGAGATTGTGCTGAGCACGTACTCGATGGTGTGGATGGCTTGGTAGATGAAGACCTCAGACATGGGCTCATCATCGTGACTGTGGCCGCCGCCGCCGGCTGGTGCAGCCGACGCTTTGGGCTCTTCTGGCTCCGGAGACATTTCCATGCCCTGATTGATGTCCCCATTGTGACCTGGATGGCCCTTCTTCTTGCGCTGTGACATGATGTACAAGGGCTTGCCCAGCAGCATGATTGGTATACAGAGAAGACTGATGACCACCAGAACCATCTGTATTGTGCCCTGACCCTCGAACATGAACTCCTCGCAGTTCTCCAGAGGCTCGCCCTCTTTGAACAACATCATGTTGATGAACATGATGAGAATTGACGGCGCACAGCCGGCTCTCTTCACGAAAGGCGCCTCCTTGTAGCCATAAGCCACAAACTTGAAGAACATCATGAACACCATGTAGCCGAAGAGGAGAACCAGGAAGACGATTTGTGGCAGGAACTCAAGCACGATGCTGTGACGTCTGCGGAAGTGATTGTAGTTCACAACACTCATGCAAACACCGAAAATCATGTGAATGACGCCAAAGATGATGGACAGTTTCATTTTGTAGGTGTTCAGGAAGATGATCTTGTTGGTGGCCAACATCCAAGTTGGGTCCAATCCGATCGGATAAGTATTGGGGGCATAGTCCTCATTGAATGGATTCAACTGCAGATCAGGATTGCGCATAACAGTTGACGTGTTGTAATTAATTGTCCAACTGGATCCGAAGATGTTCATTGCCTTCGAGAAGATGTCATTGTACACCAGTCCAGTGTACATGGAGAAGAGACCCATGAGGAGAATAATGTATCGACCACCGAAGAAGATATTCCAAATTTCTCCGGCCTTCTTGTTTGCCAGCTTTCCCTCCCAAATCACCATCCAGGCGCCGAACATGGCCATGATTATGCCGTGTCCCAAATCGCCAAACATAATGGCGAAGAGGAAAGGAAACGTGATGATGGTGTACAAGGCTGGATTCACTTCTCGGTAGGAAGCCACTCCGTAAGCGTCGATCAGGTTCTGGAAACCGCGAGTGAACTTGTTGGTTCGATTGAAGGTTGGCGGCTGCTCATTCGTCTCAATCACATTCAGGAAAGACGGAATGGTGCTGCCAACAGCTGCAGATCCATCAGACAGAGCCTTCTGGACAACCGGAAGATCCAGAACGGGCACCCAGCATTCGCCAATCAAGCACTTCTTCGTCACATCCATGTTGAAAAGATTGAGCGTGTGATAGATTGCCTTCATCTTGCAAACCATCACACTCCAAGTCGGCAATTCCTTGGCCACACTCAACAGCACACGCTGACGGTGATCCTGGGTTTGGTTGAGCACCAGATTGAGGTCCTCAAGACGAGTTCGCACACCCTTCACCATGTCTTCGCGCTCCTCATGGCCACTTGGGCATGGATAGAGCGAAGCGTGATATCCTGAGCACACCTTCTTGATGCGACTCTTGAGCTGCTCGCCCTGGAAGAAGGCCACGAACACGGTCTTGTAGAGTGGATTGCCCGTGGCTGGATCTTCCAGAGGGTGATCCAATTCAGCCTGACGAAGGAAGACATTTCCGCGCGAGATACGCCAAAGCATGCGTTCAAAACCGGGAATCCTCTCTCTCTGGATCACACCGGCGATGAATCCGAGTCTCCCTGCCTGAGTGGCCTGGGCTGCTGTCTCCTCACCGATCAAGTTGCTCTTCATGCTATCCAGATTCAGGGATTCCTGATCAGAGAAGAATCCCTGGGTCTTCTCCAGAACCTGACGAAGTTCAGTCAGTTCCAAATAGTTGGACTTCAGATTGACCGCATTCTGGGACAATTCGAGGATTTCATTCTCCGTTTTCTCGAGATGAGCCTCCAAATCGATAATCTCACGTGGATTTGGTGCTCTTGGAGCATCGTCAATCGGTAGATCCGGAATCGAAACTCCGTCCTTTTTCACCTCGGCTTCAACGTAGCGCAGCTTGCGCTCCATCTCATCGCAACGACGAACCTCATTGACGAATTTCCGTTGGAAGGCATTCACTTCCGCATTCAACTGTCGAAATATGAAGTAATAATTCGATTAGAGACTCTTGTATTTTATAGGATATTTAAAATTGTTTTCAACCATGCTTTTGAGTTGAAACACATTGGAAAATTTCGCAGATTTGACCCCAAAATTCTTATCTCGGCGATTTTGGATGATCTCCCGTCGAGATTATGCTCAAATATACTCACGTCGCGGAATTGGACGGCTCCTGTCTCACCCAGCTCGGAAACGGACGTGTAGGCCGCTTCTGGCTGGATGAACATCTGGCACAAGGCCATCTCTTCACTCCGGAACATAGCCCCCATGCTGGAACTGGCTTGAGGTTGCTCTCCTTGCTGGACTGTTGAGAAAACAAGAAGAAAACATGATAAAGTTGCCTCTCACATTTCTGTTAAATTAATTCATCATCGACTTTCGATTTCTTCGCGACATTACTTGGAGAGTATTCCGTCTTTTTCGCCTCATTTTTCGGCATTTTCACCCACTATCGCGTATCAAGGATGCACCAGAAGGATTACTGAGTATTTTGGGTATGTTATTTAATACGATTTTCCCGAGTTTATTCGCAAATTCAGTGGATATTTCCCACCAAGATCACGCGCAGTGTGGCGCTTAAAGTGGAAGCAACAGCACTGAGAGTTGCTCCAGGTGAATCGAAGGCACGATCGTGTGTTATTTGTGTAGAAGTCACGAGAAGAGAGTCATCAGAGATTAAATTTTTTCATCATCACATATGGTGTCTATTGTCACCTTCTCGTGCTTTTTCAATGTAGAGCAAAATATGATAGTTTGAGACATTATTTCTCCGTATCGTGAAGCGTGTGTTTGCAATTTTCAACCTCTTTTCATCTCTTCAGCACTGTATGGATTGTATGCATAAATAGGTATATATGTGTAAAAGCTTCGTGATCTCAGTCGACAAATGGATAATTCTTGAACAGAAAGAACCCTCACCATATCTTATCATTGATCGTAAATTAATATAGCGGCGATGTAGCCGCAATAAATGCGTGAATTGATGGAAATGTAGGTGAGAAAGATGCTCAATTAGCTGTGAGGTGCAAATAAACTCGGTAATTGCTAGATAAATCCTCTCTGGAGCAGTATTGAGTTGTATAAAAATGATTTGCTTTTCATACACAATTCTCTCTCTCGCTCTTTTTGCGTTTCTGCCACATTTTCCGACGCTCGATCATGTGAGAGAAGTTTTCAAGGTGTTCACAGAGAAGTTGTGAATTCAAATAAATTACGTCAAAGCTTTTGTTATACTACAAGTCTCACGTAGAAAATTATATTTACGAGTAAAATATTACAATGATATTATGACGATTTTTTGTGATGCAGTTTAATTTCTTATTTTTTCCACGAATTGATTAAAGAAAATTCAAAATCACACAATTCTCATTACTTTACAAATGTGTGTTTACATGAACTTCATTTGTCCCTTGAACCATTCGCTTCACTCATTTCATTCATTTATTTATCCACTAATCGATTTAGCGTATAGAATAACTTTGGAATCCTGAACGTTGACACTCAACGGGTTCCTAATTTATTTATAGAACATCTTATAAAATATTTAGATTAAGCAACAGTTGTTCGTAACTTCGTTAAAATTCTCTCTCATATTTGATCAATTGGCTAATAATTTTTAAGCAGATGCCATCAGACAATAATCAACTTAATACGATGGCACAACCGTATTGGCAATTTTACTCTCTTATATGTTTTACTTTATGCACATGCCAACCCTAACGTCAATTTCAAGACTATTTTCTTTTAAAACTGTCCTTCGTTTAATGATTAAATATTAATTATGTGGTCTTCTTATTAGCGTCTAAGTGGCGAAAAGCCCAGCAAAGCAATTGCCTTTGAAACTAAGATAAGAGCTTTATAGCGCCTGAAAGTAGGGTTTTTCCCGTACAGACGAACTTGCAGAAAGCTCATCTGCGCCCAGGTAACTTTCCTATCAAAGGTGAAAATCTACTCTGGCGACTGATAGTGGGATTGAGTGATTTTCCGCGGGAAGCTCAATCACGTGACGGGAAAATTGAAAAATTGTGAGAGGCAGAATTGATGGGCTCCGCTATGGACGCCCCCGAGGAGCATCAGGTGGTTTACTCTCTGTGCTGACCTTCACCACACTGAAGAAAAGCAATTAATTTTATTTTGAATTCAGCACACTCAATGCAAGATCATGACACTGAGCGCAAACAATACGCTTTTTCTCTCATTTCATTTTCTCTCTTTTTTTCCTTAGCATCATTTTGAGTTAAATTTAATTCTTCACGAAAGCAATGAAGTCGATTTATCACGTAAACACGTGAAGGCAAAAATTTCCAGATGCTTTTTTCATTCTTTACAGCTGAATTGAGGGTTTTCCACTGAGGATCTATGGCGAGTCGAAATGGTGTTGGAGATGGGTATTAATTGTCAAGTACCTGATTGCTATTATCTCACACTTTCACATGATTAAGAGTTTGTCGAGACATGTGATAAGTCACTTAACGTCTTAGAGGAAAAACAACACATGCTCATGAGGCAAGGTCTCTTCTTCTCCTTAACAACCGAGTCATGTGAGGGAGGCAAATTTGCCTTTCAACGAGGAGCCACAGAACATCGATTGATTCAATTAATTCATCCACTATACAAATTAATTAACGAGGGCAAATTGATAAATTCATAAATTTTTAGTGTGTTCTGTCACATGACCTCTTCTGGATAAAACCCTTGAGCGAAGTTTCAGCCAGCATACTTACATCAATTGGCTCAATCGCCTGACAATAACTGCTCCAACGTCTCCTCACTGATAATCCTCTGGTTGTTAAGGAATTGCTCACGAAATGAAACACGATCTTTCAATGGGAAACTACAATTTGATCTACACGATAATGTGACTATGGAAGAAATTGGAGCTTTTCCTCTTCCAACAACTGCTCAGTGCTCCTTTCGCCGAGGAAAGCGACGAGTAACTGAACTGAAATATGAATTGTATGGCTGTCGGAACGAATTGTGTGCGTTTCATTTCAATGTATTTCACCGTCATTTATTATTAACTTAAACAACTCTTCGTGAGGCGCTGAATTGCAAACACACATACATCAAACAGATCCACAATTTTCACAATTTTACTTGAGAAGATCTCATCGTCACCTTAATTCTCTAATCACTCACCGAGTATCAGAGGTTATCGGGGAGATTTTGCACAACTTCCAGCATCAGGATTTCCGAGGAATGTCTCTCGTGATGACCCGAGAGATGCAATTCCGCAACCCAATTACATAATCTAACAGATCAGACTTCCAGATCTCTCTCAGCAACATGCGGGCAGAGGCTTAAGGAGATCGTGTCTTGCTAAACAGTGTGTGATTTTTATCACAGACGCGATAAGAGGAGTAAATGGGAATCTCATCACTTTCGGCCCTCATTTTCGGATGATCTCAGAATCCGCCAAAAATTGATTGTTGGCGCACATTGGGTTGTTTTGGGCGAGGAACAAACTTGCGTGCAAATTATTACAATTAGCATGAATGCATGAAAATATTCATAGTTGAAATAGTCAGACATTCTGACAACGTGCATGTGTTTTATTTGATTTGCGCTGTCTCCGTCTTTCAATTAGTGCGAAATGTAGAAAATATGTTGAAAATATCATCCTATTCGTGATAGAGTTGATTAAGTGATGAGGAAATTTTTTAGACAAGAACAAGATTAAGAATTTTGCTATATTAATTCGTCAATGTTAACTTTATTCATTCATATTTCATGACAAATTGTATAATGAGAAAACGAATGAATCATGAATGTTATCTATATTTTGATTCCTAATCGTGATTTATCAACTCTATTTAATACAGGATCATTTTAATAGGCAAGAACAACTCAATTGTGTGATAATGTGCTCTGTGGCATTAAGATAAAGTGGAGGCTATGATAAGATGGGGAGTCACTTAAATGCCAAAAATACGATTGATTTATTACTTATCACGGGTGTTATGTGTAATATCATTGCGTGATGGAAGAGAAATTCCACAGGAGATAATGCCAAAGTCACAAGGTATACTTTTAGTGACAATAAAATGAACTGTATTGCAGACGAGTGGGAGGAAGAGGTGGAAAGAGAGTAAATTTATGTCATATCAATTTGTTCAACAGGCCTTTTAACATGACACTATCTCGACGAAAAAAGACACCTCAGAGGTGTTTTCCATTCCACTATCACTGGGAATATGGAACGCGATCGACAATGTGATGATATTAGTTCTGCTCGCTGCATTGTTGCCTCATGTTCAACTATATTCTCTTCTTCTACATTGGAGCATTATCACTTTCAAGACTTCCAATAATCACCACATTAGCATGTTCCATGAGAATATTTTCCTTCAGTCGCCGATCCAATCATGTCAACAAGAGGAAAGATAATGTTATCAAATTTTAAACACAACTCGCGCTACTATTAATAGAATTTTTACACTTTTACTGTCTTTCGCGCAATGGCATTTGTTCATTCTCATGTTGTAAAAGTTTATAAATGAAACGAAATGCATTTCATATTGTCACAATAAAATGCTTCACTTCACACTGGAACTTTTTCTCTGTCATTCAATGGCATGTTTAGAAATGCGCTCTTCGAAAAAATTGCATAATGATCATCTTCCTCTCCACAAACACGCATTGTGACCATTCTATTTTTCCCCAGTATTTATGGAGAGCTTTTTCAGTTGGATGATCTATTGTGAAATAATTTAACCTTGTTTATGGCATTTTTTATCTCGCTCTTACGCTCATGCCAAACATTAAATGTTCTAGCATTTTTCCACTCGAAGAACTCTCATAATGTCACAGTTGGAAAATGAGTTTCTTGAGAAAATTCTGCCATTTTACTTTGATTTTAATCAATTTTCCAGAGCTGCTGGAAGAAAATAGTAACTTCGCAAGCGACAGAATGCAATTCTTCGGAATCGTTGGCATTATGAGTTTCTGCTTGTAATTACAAAACAGGAAACAATAGAAAAGTTTAGTGGTTTCTTATCGTAAAACTTGTACATTTTTGCATTCTTCTGATGGCAGATTCTTAACACAAAAAATGGTAGTAAATATTTTCGTACAAAATAAAATTTTCGTACAGTACAAGCACTCTAATTAAATACGTGCTTGGCTATAAAATTAATTTATTTTAATTTGAATTGTAGCAATTATTATTAATCATTAAATTATCAGAGATATTAATTCTCCTACAGTTTATCAATCACTCAACAATTACGTGTGATATCAAACGCGACGTTTTTTAGTGTATTTTTTCATAGAAATCAAAGTCATATGTTTACTACTGATAGTATAACAATGCAATGGAAGTTTTATACGAGTTACAGATTTTCTTATCGCCGTGAAAGTGTTTCTTTATGGCGTTTATATCTTTACTGATATAATTATTTTAAATCGAGGTTCTACTGTTCAAATCTCTCTTTCTGTAATCGTGATAAGGAATATTATTGAGTAATTTGCGTACGTCAGTCTCAATGGAGCCTCCACGTGATTGCTCAATTGAGAGTCTCGGAGAATCTTTTGTATTCCGTGTGAATCCAAACATTCTCGATACATAATATACCCAGTAATTGTACGAAATGTGAGTAGAATATATCGGCACAGCCATTGTGTACTATTTCGGAAGGAAAGCGATAGAGAATCCAGCTTAAATTTGTTCAGGTGCAACGCATTTTCGTCACTTTATGGAAAATTACAATTCATCGCCTGGTCTATAATTCTAAGAATATTTCAAGTGTGTTTATAGGCAGAATACAAACACTCAATCGCAAGGTTTACATTATAAGTTTCATCAACCGGCGTCTTTTCCTGGCGTTTTTGCGCCCAAAAAGCAGATTCCTGAAGTGGCCTCTCAAGGCGAATTGTCTGGGTGACAATATTGTGCAAACAAGCAATGATTAATGATGCAAATTGAGCGAGAGAGCTTGTGCCTATGCGACGTAGGAGAGGTAAAGATCTTTTTCACTTTCAACCGAGCAACTCCAATTGCGGTCAATGTTAACGGCTCAAGAGTGAGTCTCTTGAATACGACAATTTGGAGCATTTTTCCATTGCAACTGACGGAAAACGTGCACACGGAATTTTCACATGATTTCTTAAGTACACATTTCATGCTTTGACTTACATTCCGTGATTGTCATCTTGGATTCCCGATTTATTCTTCAAGGATAATCCAAAAAAAAATGATGTAAAGTCGATCCTGAAAATTGAAAATCACTTTACAAGCACTGAATCATTCAAAGATATGCTGAAAATCACAGGAAAATCAATCAAATGATCCACAAAACCTTCGGAAAATTGCAATAACTTCCCTTCAATCGTACGGGTTTTTCTGGCACCTTCGCGATAAAAGCAAGGAGTCAGCAAGACACTTGACTCAATACTGGAGTTATTGAAGCTTTTCAACATTCGACGAGTGTGTAAATTCATGATCACATTCTCAAGTTCATGAGGTGAATTAATTTAATTTTGCGCGACAATAGTGGGGCTTTATTTTTGCATAAAATTACTCCCCAATGTATGGTTTACCTGAAGAGAAATTAATATAAAATTGTGGTGATATCTGAACATTCCGTACAAAAAAAAACAACTCAAAAATAAGATGTATTTGTAAGAAACCGGTTTTAAACAGCTTATCTTTCATAAAATGTAGTGAATATTTCGTAAAAGCGCAGTTTATCGTGTTTATCCCTTAAAATGCATTCATAAAGTAACCGAATGCCAAATACTCTACATTCAGGCGCAATCTCATTGACTTCTTTCAACTGCTCTCAATTTAGTAACAATTGAAGAGTTTCAGTCGTCGAGGGACAATTTGTGCAGCCAACTTCATGCTATTGATTGTCAAAAAGCATGTCGGACGAGGAGAGTCCCGAAAAAACCGGTAATTTTCCTTATATTTTCACTATTTCCCCAGTAAAATTTAGTGACAAAATGTAGTTGTGTGATTGAAAAAGCGATTGCACTAGCAATTATGTGTATATCTGTGAAATTCATGCCACAAGAGTGAAATGAATTTCACTTGAGTGGCAGCCATTGTGGCGTTCCCCAAAAATCGTGTTTTCTCAGTAATTGAATCTACTTATAAATCCCAATTGTCTCACCTTTTCAGGCCGGAGGACACGCTCCGGACGCACTGTGAAGGCGGCTGCTCCAATTACGTCACGGACGACACGTCGAACGCGACGAACAAACCCTGAACCGGAGCCTGAAAATGTGAGTTGGGGCGAATGTTTTGCGCTAAAGCGGGTTCTCACGTAACCTCACTTATTGAATGATATCCGGACGATATGATGAAACAATTTGCTGTGGCCAAATGTGGCGAAGCTCCATTTGGCTCTGAACAAACTATTGGAACAAATCCATGGAGATTTAGCAAGGGCCAACTGATATTCTCTGGGAAAAATGCTTAGGAAAGTGGAGTTGAGGTGTAAAATTCTGATAGATTTGTTTTTGCAGGTACACGAGGAGATTCCGGAGGAAACTCCGTTTGAGGAGGCTCCAGTGCAGGAGCTCCTAGCTGACGACACTCCAGTACAGGCGACTATCATTTCACCAGTGGTCGAGACGCCGATAGAGGAGAAATTGGCTGAGGATGAGGAACCGCCGGCGCCAATTGAGGGAGCGGCTGTGGAGAATCTTGCTGAAGATGCTCCTGAGGGCGAGGGCGAAGCCATGGTTCCGCCAGAAGACGAGAAGAGCTCATCTTTTCCGTTTGGCGAGCAATCGTCAGCCGATCGTGAGGACATGAATAATATCAATCGCGAGTCTGGAGACAATCTGTTCATTGCCAATTTGGCTGCCGAAGAGAATGCCAACAGCCTTCCCTCGGGCACAGATGACAATGAGATTCGTGACTATGAAGGTGTGGCGACCAATTCGGCGACTCTTGCATCGGAGGTGCAAAAGGATGACACGAAGAACGACAGTGATGATTGTGCTATCGCTGAGGATTTGCCAAATGGCCAAGACAGTCCGGGAAAGCAAACGGATCCCGACACTGAGATGGTTTCGGAAGATGAACTTCCAGCACCGACTCAGCCAAAAGTGCAAGATGCCGAAGAAGTGTCTGATGATGAGTTGCCTGGACCAAAATTGGCTGAATTGCCAGCAGACACAGAAGTTGTGTCTGAGGATGAATTGCCGGCGGCAGGAAAGGGCAAGAGGAAAGCCGACGAGGGCTATGATCCGGGAAGTCCGACAGAGTCAACAGAAGCGCCGGAGAAGAAGGCAAAAATTGAGAGTGTTGCCGAGGAGCCGAAGAAGAAATTACCTGACTTGGATAAGTACTGGAAAGCCGTGAATGATGATCCCACGGATTTCACCGCCTGGACATACTTGCTGCAGTACGTGGATCAAGAGGTGAGGTTTGGAAAAGGGATTTCTGATTAGAAATACTGCAATAATGTTTGTTTTATAATCATATAGGTTGACATTGAAGCGGCTCGAGAGGCTTACGATGCCTTCCTGGCTCACTATCCATACTGCTATGGCTACTGGCGCAAGTATGCTGACTACGAGAAGCGTCGTGGAAACAAGAAGAAGTGCGAAGAGGTAAGTGTTTGCTTCTGGACTATTGATTCGAAATATCACCTGTTCTCTCTGGGACCATGAGAGTGGAGAGAGGAGGAAGAGACAACCAAGAGAGATGGCAACATTTTTGGCTGGATTTCTGGGCAATCTATTGTGATGTGTGGCATCTTGGCGGATGTTTCTTCTTTCTCTTGACACTCTCAAGACGACACGGGTAACTAGTGCAATATCCTTCCTCACTGTGAGATATGCAATAAGTTAGTGTTAAAATGTGATGAATGAAGTATTTTCTGTTGACCAAATCTTTGAATACCACTTCTAATTCCTACAGCTTACGCTCAGGGGCACAGTTTGCCGTATATCTGCACTCGAGCTCCTTGTCATTGTAGCCCATGAAATGCCTAATCAGATATTACGTACTATAGTGATGAGTTTGCGATATCATTTTAATCTATGCAATACATTTGAATTATTATACAATGATATGAAAGTATTATATATTAGAAGTAATACAGTGTGTGTTTATTTACCATTTGAAAGTTTATTTTTGTCTCCTATTTCTCGTTTTGTTTTGTCTTTGGGGCAATTGCGGGTGGTAGAAAGTGATGTGATGAGGAAAGGAAAAAAAGGGGTTTTTGCGGGTCAATTGTTAGCGTCTCTTTGGGGGTGGGTGGGAAAGAAAATCTCTACTAAACAGCATGAGAGACAGAAAAAGCAAGGAAATGAGAGAACCCCAAATGTACAGAGAGAGAGAGAGAGAAAAAAGAGAATATCGGGAGCCCAAAATCCAAAAAGGTACACACCATCCTGGCCTCTGCATCGTTGGATGTGTTCTCATATTCTGGTCACGCATCTGCCAAAGATCATTGTAAGATTCAAAAGTCAAGATACGTCCTTCATTAATATACCTTTCTCTTGCAGTTGATGAATGAAGTATTTGCATTTTAATTAATAGTGATTAATTGTGTGAGATACAATTTGAAGTACAACTAATGAGAGACTCTCTTGCAGTTGACCGGGGATTTTTGGGATTGCTGGTTGATTTTCCGTGATCTTTGAGTTATTTTTTTTCTGCCAAAATGCCAATAATACAATTTTGTGTGTTTACAAAGAATGAAAGAAATGAAAAAAAAACAATGCTGTGCTATAATGAAGTGATAAAAGATCAGTTAATCAATCAGCGATCAAGGGATTGATTAGAATGAAATATTCCATGAAATATCTATAAAAGAGTAATTTTTGAACTAATCATGCTTTATCTCTCTCTCGTTCATCCTTTGCGGATCGTTTCACCATCCGGAACGCTCAATCAACGACATGCTTAGGTGTTTGAGCGTGGCCTCAAGGCAATACCCTTGTCGGTGGATCTCTGGATACACTACTTGGGTCATGTCAAGGGCAACTACGGCGAGGACGAGTCCTTCGTGAGGTCACAGTTTGAGCGGGCGCTCGGAGCCTGCGGTCTCGAGTTCCGGTCGGATAAGCTCTGGGAAGCGTATATCAAGTGGGAGACGGAGGGCAAGAGAGTGGCCAATGTGGTGTCGATCTACGATCGTCTGTTGTGCACTCCGACGCAGGGATACAATGGCCACTTTGACAGCTTCAGTGAGATTGTGTCCAATAATGCGCCGCAAGTTCTTGTCACTGTGGACGAGTTTAAGAGGGTGCGCAGAGAAGTGCGAGACGTGGCGGGCACGAAAAGCACCAAGGCAGCTGAAGATGACGTGACCATCGTGGAGGCGGACAAGGAGAATGTTGAGAAGAATGAGGACAGCGAGAAGGACAATGAGGAGAAGATGGATGTGGAAGAAGAGGCGAAATCAGGCATTGAACCGAACATGAAGGCTGTCAATGAGGAGAAGCCAGAGGAGGTGGAAGCCGATGATCATGTAGCGAATGATGAGGAGGCGCAGGCCATCAAGGACAAGATTTTGTCCATCCGTCGAAAGCTCCACAAGCAGACAGTGGCCGCGGTGACGGCACGTTGGGTGTATGAAGAGGCCATAAAGCGTCCCTATTTCCATGTGAAGCCACTGGAGCGGTGTCAGCTGAAGAATTGGAAGGACTATCTGGATTATGAGATAGAGCAGGGGGATAGAAAGCGTGTGTTGGTGTTGTTTGAGCGATGCTTAATTGCGTGTGCGCTCTATGAGGAGTTCTGGCTGAAGCTCATTCGCTATCTAGAGAGTCAGAATGATGCAGAACTTGCCGTGACGACGAGGGATGCTTTCGAGCGTGCCTGCACAGTTCATCATCCAGACAAGCCCAGTCTTCATCTCATGTGGTCGGCATTTGAGGAGGTTCAGAACAACTATCAGAAGGCGGCAGAGGTGTTGACGAATCTGGAGAAAGTGTGCCCAAATCTGCTGCAGGTGGCTTATCGTAGGATAAATCTGGAGCGACGTCGCGGGGATTATGTGAAGTGTAGTCAGCTGTATGAGCACTATATTGGCGTGGCCAAGGGCAAGAATATGGCCAGCAGTTTGGCCATAAAGTATGCCAGATTCTGTCACAAAGTCAAGGGTGATCTGGATGGTGGCATGGAAGTGCTGAAGGTGGCCCTGGAGAAGGACAGCAGCAATACGCGCATTGCCCTGCAAATGATTGATCTTGCGCTGCAGCGTGCACAAGTGGAGGAGACGGAAGTGGTGGAGATCATGGACAGTTTCATGGCTCGCGAGGGCATGGATGCCGAACAGAAAGTGCTCTTTGCGCAGCGCAAGGTGGAGTTCTTGGAGGACTTCGGGAGCACCGCCAGAGGATTGCAGGACGCTCAGAGGGAGCTGCAATTGGCATTGGCCAAGGCTAATGAGTCCAAGAAGAAGGCGAGGTGAGTTGAGATTGATTATGGAGAGGAGAGATGGGATGAAAGACTGATTTTCTATCCTTCACAGTTCGACTGAAGTTGCGAGTGCGGCGAAGAAGAGCAGCACTAAGGACAGTCAGCCTCCGCTGCCCACCACCGGAACTGGCAATTCCTCCACGTACAGCTCATACAACTACAGTGGCTCAGGTCAGGCGGCTGCCAGTGGGTATTACGGCAGCGGAGCCACAGCTGCTCAATCCGGCTATGGTTCCTACACCGATGCGAACTACGGCTATAACCACTGGAATCAGTACGGACAGACGGGCTACAGTGGCTACAGTCAGTGGAGTGGATACGGGAACTACTATTGAGCGCGAGTGTGAGATTTTAACAAACTATTTTTCAAGTAATTCCATCTCAATTGGAAAGAGATTTTTGCTAATCCCCTAATTACTATGGAGAGAAAATCCTTATTCGCTCCTGAAAATCCTTCACTTGAAGTCAAGAAATAGTAAGAATTGTAAGAAGAGAGAGGAGAAATGAAATATGCGCGAAGAAAACATTAACTGTAAATGCTTAATTGTAAGATTGTGTTGCCAACACAAGATGATTTATTGATTTTGTCGTCCTTTACATTTATTACTCCCTATGAATCCAACAAGATGAAGACAAAAAAGAAATGTAAGATGGAGAGAAAACATTAAGATATAGTAATGTAGAAAGAGAAATAATAAAAGGGACTTTTTAATGAGAGCATTTAGCGTTCAATTGAATCCGCTGGGATGACATTGCAGCCGAGCAGGCCGCGTCCGGACCACACTCGGGGGATGAGATCCAGCGGCAGGAGACGATTCTGACGACGGATCTTCACCTTTATCACAGAATCCTGCTGATTCTTCACGATGTCCGCAATCTGAGTGAGCTCTCGGAAGTTTGAGGCATTCAAGGAGCCAAATTCGATCACTTCATCGCCAACTCTGAAGCCCTGCAAATGGGGAAAGCATTGAATTAATAACAAGGTGGTTCAGAGGGACTGAGGAATGCTCACAGCTTGTTCCGCTGGTCCTCCAGTCGCCACGAGATTCACTTTGCATATGGGCGTCTGGGCAGACGGAGTGTCTCGTCCCACAGCCACGGAAATCCCGCCGTTCTCCACGTAATTCGCCAGTTTGGTGGTCGTGGATGCGCCTGAGGACGTGCCAGCAGTGGCATTGGATCTCTGCTCGGCAAAATAATGCTCCAGACCCTGCTCAATTTGCCCCATGAGCGCCTTCAGGTCGTTTCGCGTGCAGATGATCTGATGCCGCGCCGTTCGCACCTGGTGGACATCGATGTCACTCCTCGGGAAGCCATCAGAATCCACCAGACGCTCATCCATTCCCACGTTGTTCTGGAAAGGAGGCAAGGAGACAGCGAAATAGGGCGAAATTGGGAAGAAAATGGGATTTTGCAGTGTCATTCACTCACAGCCTCGAGAATTTGATTCAGGTCTGACAATTTCTGCTCCAATTTTGTCTTCTTCTCCATCAGCTTCAGCACTTCCTCCTTCTTAATGGAATTTCCACTGGGTACAACCATTTTCCAGGATTGAGCGCACCACAAGTGATCAGAAAAGTCCTGAATCCGCGAATTGCGTCCCAATATTTACCTTTCGTCCCTCAATGTTTTTTGTACTAAAACTCAGATGTCATGCTGAGTGCTAAAAAGGCTTGTCAGCTGGCACGGCATCCCCACGCGTGTGCGGAGTACTAAAAAGTCAGCTGTCACCTCAATTTGAATGTAATCGAATTGCGGTTTCTGTCTCGGCTCATCGAAAACCGTTGATTTTACATTGCGAAACAAGCATGAAACATGTTTGTTACATACAGGAAATGCATGGAAAATCCATGAAAATTTATTTTCTTCACATAATATGGTTGCATATTCAGTTTGTTTTGATTTTTCTTTTCCTTATTGAAAACATCTTTTATTGGGAGTGACTGCAAATGACTTGTTCTTTTAAGTCAGTTTTCCCGAGAAAAATTTACTGTAAATCATCGTAATTCTTCTTTTATGTGTCGCCTTATAACCAATGATCATCAATTTTAGGTGTTCTGGTAAAGTTAAGACTCAACATCACTCGCAGTTCTTCCCAATCGATTAATTTAATGTTATTTGCCAGATTTGTATGGAAGAAATGGAAAAGATGCTCTATCAATTATCTCTAACGCTCTAGAATTAACCACGGATTTTTTTAAATTACACTTAGTCCCAAATTAAATTATTTAATATATTGTGTCACACAGATGACTTTCGTTTTCTAAAATAAATCCATTATGAATTGTGGCAAATTTAGCCTCTGTGGTTGTTGGCGTCTTCCTCAAATGGGCTAAAAAACACTGACAGAGTGTCCTCTTCGCGCCTAAGGTGAGAGTGTTTTGTGAGTTAATTTTGGCGTGAATGCACAGATAAATTGGGTGTTTTTAATGTATTTGAGAAAATTATGAAAATGCGTGAATCACACATTCCTAAATATAGAAAAACTTCTCAAACATTCTCTCCTCGAGAAGAGTCGAGAGTTTTCGATCAGGGAAAATCACACGCCTGTATAAAATGTTGCCTCTGCTCGCGAGATCCGTCAGTGTTGCGAACGAATTAGCTCAGTGAAGAGATCTTTGTGGTGACAGAGTTTTGTGGTAGAGTTTAAAGTGCTCAAGAATGTCTCGATTCTCGCCGTGGTTCTACGACTTCGATGATTTCTACGACAACTGGTCCTCCAGGTGGTCCGATCCCAACTTCGGCATCAGCTTCCATCCCAGGGAGTTGCGAAGCGCCAGGACTCTTCCACGTCTCCTGAGGACTCCGTCTGGATACACACGGAACTGGTCGCTGTCCAAGACCAGCGACAGCAAGGACGAGCCCAAGACGCCGGTGCTGAACGAGAAGGACGGCTTCCAAGTGTGCCTGGACGTGCAGCACTTCAGTCCCAATGAGATCACCGTGAAGACCGTGGACAACTACATTGTGGTGGAGGGAAAGCACGAGGAGCGCGAGGACGATCATGGACTCGTGTCCAGGCAGTTTGTCCGTCGCTATGCTCTGCCCAAGGGCTTCAACATGAGCGATGTGGTCTCGACGCTCTCCTCGGATGGCGTGCTGACCATCAAGGCGCCGCCAGTGAACAAATCCGTGGAGAACAAGGAGAAAGTCATCCAGATCCAGATCACCGGTCCGGCTCATCTCACAGTGAAGGACGACTCCAAGGCTGAGGAGACGCCAAAGGCCGAATGCTAAACTTCAACACTCACCTTTTTGCCCTTTTTTGTACAACATCAACTATTTTTTTCATAATTTCATATGCTAAAAAGCAAGAAATATTCACACCTTTTTGTACTGATGGAAAAGAATATATAGATAAATTTTCCACTTTTCACATTTCGACTTTCAGTCTCTCTCACGATGCTCTCACCATCAAAATTGCGGTGTGTTTATTCTTGAGGAATTCAAAAATAGACACTTTCACAGACATTTCACGCCGTTGACGCTGAAGAGACACGCGATGGGAAATTCTGCGTGGGCGAAGGTGAAAAGTCTTCCAGAACCATTTCATTCATTTATCAGCGAGGCTATAAAGCAAAACTGGGAGAGTGATTATATAACATCAGCTCAAATATACATTTTAAACATTTCATGCATGAATCATAAGAAAATTCCTAGTCAACCAAGTTTTTGCACAACAAAATTGTAAATCGGTGTCTTGAAAATTTATTGAAAGATCACGAAAGGAAGTATCTATTAATTATAAGAATTAATCACGTGAATATTTAAAATATTTGTATTCTTAAGAAAAATTTTGCATATTGAGCATATGCTCTATGGGGACGTTGAAATCAAATTCACAATGTTTCATGTAAGCTTTCGTGCTGCAGCGTTGAAACATTATGTGAAAATTGTCGCAAGAAATTCAGGATTATGCGCCAAAGGGAATAAAAACACAGCTTTTTGTTTTGTTTACACATTTTCTCTCAATTATTCAATTATTTTATACACTTGTTTTGTTGCATCTGCAATGTATATTTGATGATATTTACACATTTCTCTCACCTAAAACATGAAAATAGTCAAAAATTTGCTAAAAGAAAATTTGTGTGTAAAATTACAGAGGAATAAATAAGAGTGATTCTCCTTTCTATTCTGTAATTCATATTTACAAATTCTTCCTTTACAATGATCCATCTTTTTTTTTATATCGAGGTCTATTTAGTGATTCTTTTCCTCTACCTATTTTCTCTCAGTAGGATAAATTTGTGTTGTGTGGTTTTCTGTCTTTGTGTCCTTTTCTTTCTCTATGAAAAGTTGCTTTCAAAAAAAAAAACATTAAATGCTCTGGTAGATTTTATTTTACATATTTCCCATCTCCTTCCCATTATTATATCTTTTTTTATTCTTTTATTATGCAATATAAGGTAATTTAATATTTCTCTCTCCGCTCTTCACACACTATATTCGTTTCTGTTTCGAAGGCAAGACAAAAATTGAATACACTGCATTTGATAACATGTAATACAAAAATTCTCGGTGAATTTCCTTCATGTCTTTTCAAACGTGAACTCTCGAGTAATGGCTATTATACTCTCCATTTTCCACTGGGTTTTGCTTGGGATCTTGCAAAAAATGTGAAAAGTTACATAGTTTTCACTTGTAAAAGCACACAATTCTGCTTTTGAATTAAAAGTGTTCATTTTTTAAGTCTGCAAAATGAAGATTATTTTATTTTTTGAGTCATTTACTCATATGTGACAAGAAACACATAGATATATACATTACATAAATTCATTTCACCATCTATTTTAGACTATAATTTATTATTTTCACGTGAGACAAGAAAAAACATATGACTTTGAAGCTTTGTGATTGAACATTTTTACAGTCTAAGCTGTCAAAATATATCGTGAAAACTGAGAAATGAAAATTTTCAATGCAGAAAAGAACCCAATTACAAAACATCACACTGACTATTCTCGAGAATTGTTTTTCACCCATGAAATCTTTGCATTTCACCAAAGACGCGATATTACTTAAATAATCAGAATTTCCCTTTTTTAGAATTTCTATAAAGACTGCGTGATTTTCTCCTTTTGCTTTATTTCGTAAAGGTCTTCATCTTGGTTAATCTCCTCCGAATAATCCATAAATCTCGTCTTTAAAGTCAATTTCAATATTTTTTCTTCTATACACCTTAATAATCACAGATTCCTGTATGGGTTATATTTATTTTTTCCACCATCTCACTACTTAATTTTTTTTTAATATCTATATAGACAGGTTGTTCTCCCTGGTTGGCTTTCAACCACAGCGAATTCAATAGAAGACAAGAAATATAGATGCTAATTGAAGACAAAAAATGCTTCATAGACAAACAGAAAAGTATAATGATTTTGTGATATTCCGTATACAAATTCTCTGTCTTTCAAGTGTTTACTTTATTATGAATAGATAAATTGTGCAGGGAAAAAATGTTCTCTGTTTTACATTTACATTGACAAACAAGTTTTCTGTTTTTCTTCTTTTCCATTCATCCACTCACGGTTCCAAATCTCTCGATTTGCTAATTTTATTTTATTTACAAACATCACATTTCCATTAAATTGTCTCGTAAGAATTTTTCACTCTCGACCGTGCGTGGAAAAAAGAACATGCATATAAATGAAGAAAAAACAAAAAGAACTGCTCTTGAAATGCGTGAAAATAATTAAGAAGATTAATTGGAAGAGAATCAAGGAGAGACACTTCTTAGTAAATTCCACACCGTTTTCTTTTATACATTTAGTCGTCAAAATTTCTTTTACAATTTTTTTTTTGTATCTAATAAAAATCAATTTATAATTTCTTTTTTTCTTCTTCTTCTCATTAATCTCTTTTACATGATCTGTACAGTTAGCAAAAATAATCTAGTATCACCTCGATATCATATCGCTTTTTCACCATCTAATTAAATCCTTTATCATTCTCTCACTTCAAATTCAAATATAGTGGTTGATTAGTTCAATAGTTTAGTATCTCTGTCATCCTCTGTATATATAAAATATGTACATGACAATCTAGTGAGAAGACAATGTCCTCGTGTAATTCCGACAGACATTGTCTTAAGGGGAACACTTCTTTGGCCCTTCTGTGATCATGAGGAGCCTCTAAGGATAGTCTTGGTGGAGTCAACTTAGGGAGTAGATAGCTAGAATTGACGCAGACGCGACGACACAAATAAGAATCCAGTGATTCGTGGGCAAACTTGATGAATTCGTATCGGAGCATTTAGCCTCTCTGTCCAGCATTCCAGATTTATCTGCAATATTATCGAATGAGTTTAAGAAATGTCTGACATGGAAAGATGCCATTGATTTACCATGAACAGTGAGATTGGCCACAAGGAGGTGGTTAAGACTGACTCCAGTGGCTGACATGACACTGCTTCGGTAGCAAGAATCGCCCACGAAGAGCTGCGCCGAACTGCTCTCCATTGGCTTGTACGTTATACAAACCCCGTGTGCAGTTCCCACATGCCTGGCCACAACGAACACCGTTGTATTCTCCGACCAGGAGCCATGACAAGTGTACACTGAAAGCACAAAGACCGTTAGCGTAATATCCCTTGCAAATTGCGATTAAAGTGCTCACTTTCATCACCCTCATCGCTACACGTCGGTCGCACTTCGATCACGTTCGGCTCTGAGCACCCAATGAGAAGATGTCTAGGCGAGTTGTAGTTGATCACGCACGTCGGACTGTCTCTGCGTGAGCGACCGCGCTCTGGATTCACACTGCGTCGCTCTCTGACGGCAATTCCACGAGTCTGGCGATGCCAAGAGCCACCATCGTTGATTTCTTCTGAATTGCGGAAGCTCAGAGATCCATGTCTGTGTAGAAGGAGAAGAATAAAGTCAAAATCGCTGAATAATCATGGTTCTTAAGAAGAAGAAAAAAACCGACGCTTTGATTTGTGAGAACGAGAATCGATAGCGTCGAATTAAATTGAGACATTGTGTCGATTTCTTGGTAATATATGCTTAATGATACGCCAATTAAGTTGAATGAGTTTCGAATTTGTCTCCCATTCACTGGCTTTGGCTGTTGGAAATTGGTAAAAATGTAAATAGAAGTTGACTTTTTATGACTACAAAATGATGATATTATAAATTCTATCGTTCTTTTTCATTGATTAATTTTGCCAAATGCAATTCCCAGCAAAAGAGTATCAGATAGGGATTAAACATGATTGAATGATCTAATCACATATTCTCTTTAAGTGCAATGAATTGAAAGCATTTCGTGCATTTTTCAACTCAATACCTCTCCACTCGGATTGAGTTATAATCCCCCTGTGCCCGGTGTGGTGGAAAAGGCAAGCGCACTTCGCCATTGACAGAATACAGCAAGAGCAATAGCAGAAAGTTACCTTCGATGAGAATTGATCTCATGGTGATGTCCGTGGATGTGTCCTTTGCTGTTGTTGCTGTGATTCCTCTTATGACGTGACGCCGCATAGGGTGGTCCGATGGCCCCCCGCACGGGATACAGACCCTCCAAGGGACAGACCTCCGATTCGGGATTGATGGCTGCATATTAGCAAATGAAATTGAGATTGGAATACGCAATTGAGTCACAAAGATGGCAGAAAGTGAGGGAATTTATCTATTGCCACACGCTCTCAGGGGCGCTCCTTCGCCACTGCGACGGTGAGGCGATATCCTCTTACCTAAAAGTGTGATGTGGGGCAATTTGTTGATGTCAAAGTGATCCGGAGCACAAGCATCCTCGAGTCTTGATGCCGCAGAACCCATTTGTATCTCGGCAACGTGAGTGTCTCGTCGATAGAACATCATGCACATAAATCCCGATTGGCTGTTTTCACCAAGAATCGATAGTACATGATTATTTATGTATATATTTCAGAGCTCATGGGTTTGGCGACCCCGCAAGGAGTGAGAGGGAGAGAGCGAGAGAAGAGAGCATCCACAGTGTAGAGGAATTTTTATTCCTCAAAGCACGCATTCAGTAAAATATTGAGAGAATCCCGGATGCCAAAATCAGAATGAATCACGCTACAATTTTCATAAATTCCCATCAAATTTTCCGTTTGAACCTTTGCGTGCTCGATAACATTCGAGACTTCTTGCAAAATTGCTAAATTTTCAACAGTGAAAATTTATGGAAAATGCTGTTTATAGAGACAGTATAAGAATTCGAGACTCTCTCTCTCTCTGCGGGAAACTGCATCAGAATTTATTCATAAATGAGAAGAAATGTGACTAAATTAATTCTGTTGGCTTCAAGAGATGCAAATTTTAAGAATTTATGCAATTTCTAATAAATGTGAATTTAAGTATAATAGAATATTCATTAATATTTTTAAAGGTTATTCAGTAACTTTGATATAATTTCATATCTTATTCATTTTCTTTATGATTCGACACAAGCAAATCTGCAGCAAACTTGACATGAGATAAAAAAAATACTTTTAATCATTTTAAATGAGCGGGAAATTTCGCCCTCAGGCATATTGAGTCATTTTCTATGGATTTAAAGGTAAGACTCCTTGAAGTGTTTCTTCATTGAGAAGAGAATTCGAAAAGAAAAACCACGAGAGCGTTGCACATCTCTTTGACTGTCTTTTTGCATTGCAATTCCTCACTCTCAGTTCCAGGGCGATTCAATGGGGAAATCATTGGCTGTCGTTGGGTGGAAAAGTCGATGGTTTGCAAGATGTATTGAGGGAAGAAGAAGAAGCAATGAAAGTTTCCAACTTGGATATATGTAGCGTGTTTCCATTGTAAATAATAATTTGCTCCTCCCTTTCTTCGGCCATGGGACTCATGCCCACCCCTTTGGACGCTGTGCAAATAATTACTCACCAGCCTGTTGTGTAGTGCACCACAGCCATCATTTCCGTTGGGGTTTGTTTGTTAATTTGCTCACACAGAGCTCGAGTCTCCATCGCTCCGCTCTGCCGTGTAATGTGCATTGATCCATCACTGAAATTGAAATTTATTTATTTACTTAATATTTCCTCAATACCAATTCACCACATATCATACAAAGTTATCATTTGACGACACCCACATAACACCCCCAAAAACATCTCAATCAGTTGCGATTCTGAATACCTTCGCAAATAGTTTTCGCCTAATAATTTAATTAGCAATTAATAAGTTCCCAAAGTGTACATATTAGATTCACTGAGGCAAGATCAAAAGAGATTATATTAGAACTGCGAAATTAAAGTCTTCCGTAGGAATTTATTCGAGACGAAATTGTTTCCTAGTAAGAATTCACCTCAAAATGATGGATAATTTCTTGGGTAATTAACAATCTCAGAAAAGACTGCTCGGGAAGTCGGAGTGCAATTGACATTAGTGAGTCAATTGAAAGTAATTGGAATTTTCATCCATGAATGCGCGTCAACAGCCAAACAGAGTTATGAAAATTAGGAAGAGACGCAAAAAGGACTATCATAGCCATTGAATATATTTATGTAGCCACATAATAAAGTTAAGGGTGGAAGTTTTCAAGTGTACAGATAAATATTTTTTGGGATATTGCGATAAATTGTGGAGTGAAAAACTTTTCCATCCTTCTCCCATTCCCAATCAACATAGAGCCATTTCGTGTTTTCGGTCCCTCGCTTTTTACCCCGTCACAGCCCACGTATCTCCTCTCTCTTTCTCTCTCCCTCTGGAGCTCCGGCATTATGGTTAGACATGGAGGAAATCGGGAGCGAGGAGATGAAATGCCGCAGAATCAGCAGGCAAAAAAGGGGGATGTGCTTCAGGATGCCAGAAGGAAGGTGAAACGAGAGAAGATATGATAAATTTTCACTTCCTGTTAAGTCATTTTTTCTTCACCACCCACACTGGTGAACTCCGCACTGTCAAAGAGTTGGTAAATTGAGAGGATATTTTAATATTTATTCTCAAAACAACCATTCAACATTGTGTCTCGCACGAACTTCTGTGACTCCATTATTTTAAGAACTTCAGGAGAAGTGAAAGCTGAAGTGGAAGAAAATTTCAAGTATATTTGGACCAATATGTCAAGGAGACAAATATGCAAAAGTTTTTCGTTACAGATGAAAAAGAGGGACAATTTTCAGGATTGAGAGGGAAATTTTCCAGGAAAACACTTTATATTGGAATCTGAGTTGAGAAATGTACAGATGTGAGAAGAAGTTAGGTAATAACTCAGCAACACTACAAGAAACACAGAGAATATCTACATAAAATGTTCATGCAGAGAATCTTACTTCTGGATTAACATAAAAATAATAAATGGAGAATATTTTCTATTCTTTTTCCCATTTATTCTCTGTGTTGTCATCGTGAAATCGACATGAGGGAAATTTCCTGAGTGGGCAAAAGGATTCTTTCACTCTTTTTCAGTCCAATGAAAGAGAGCAAAGGCGATTGTCGGGCCGAAATAGTGAGAGGATCAGAGTTGATCTTATTTCCGGGCAGCGACATTGAGACATTTGAGTAATTTTGAGGGTTTTTTCTCCATCACACATTCACCCGGAAGGGTTCAAGTTGAGAAATAGGGAAAAGAGGAGAAATAGCATCAAGTACAGGGTTAACTTTTCATGGGGGGAAAAGGGGTGTCCAGTGAATCACCCTCAAACAAATTTTCATTTCAATCACAATTTTGCGAGAGTGTCTCTCAATGGGTGGAAAATTGAAATATATAGAAATTGATATTTGCCCAGTATTTGATGGCTAAGCCGGGGCGATGCGGGGTCTTTTTTCCTGTGAATCCTCCGCTTTTTGGTTGATGCTGAATCAGTATTAATTGGATACAGTAATTACTGTGGCTGTTGGTAGTTTGAAATTCGATTGATTCCACCGGACTAATTAAATCTGAACTCTCGGTGAAACTCACCATGAAACTATGCTTACAATTTTATAACACCCAAAGTTCGTCAATTAAATTGCACCGATTTAATAATATGCCAATATGATTTCATTTGGATTTTGCAGACCCACAAAATCACCCACATTCAACCAAAATACACATATATTCATGCAATTTTCTCTCAGCGCAATTTCGATTCCATTTCTATATGACTATAGTGCGAATTTCATGGCGCTCTTTCCCACCCCATCAACAGAAGTTGAAGCGAATCAGATGAACAAAGGTATGAGCAGAGTCGAGTTAATTAATTACAATCCCAACATTTGGGACGCTAAAATTAATTTAGTGTGCCGTTACCTTTGATGAAATGTGTAGCCAACATTTCCCTGAAGTGCGTGCCAATGCTTGGGTCCTTTGAACCACGCTGGGAAGTCACATCTCTCCGCTGGCGGGGCCTTCCTCAGGGTCATAATGCGCGAGCCGACCTGAACATAAGTCACAATTGTAACTTTCTGAACGGAAAAAGAAGTGCATTTGCTCAACAACTCACTTCAGCACTGTCTAGTCCATTGCATGTGGCATCTCCAGACTGCGCCAATTTGTAAGCTGCATCTTTTGACGAGAGTCCTTTTGTTCCACACAAGAAGTAAGCAAGAAAGGCAGACAGAAAGGAAGAAGATTAAGTTTGCTATGAATAATAAATATTTCCTCAGCGTCTGGGTAAAATATAAACACTTTCACTTTGAGAAAAAGTGGTAGATTAAAGTTAATACCGAGGGGTTAATTGCTTTTCCTACCTTTCACTATGCTATAGAATTATTTCTGCATTGTCAAACTAAAGAATTAAATGTTGATCGAGTCATTGTGGTTGAGTTGGCCATTAATTATCAGTGTTTAATCACACAAATGATTATACTAAACCCATTCTGTATACACTCAATTCGATTATATTCCCTCTTCCGCTACAGAGATTTCGTTAATAAGTGAATTTAATGGCAAACCGGCCACAATATGTAGGTCAATATCTGGTCATGTCGTCGCATCTCCACAAATGGAACTTGTCACCTGCGTCAGCTGAGCAATTAACCCCTCGCCCAGGGGGAGCAAATTGAGCGATGAGGTGTGGGCAATGCTTGACACTCACCCATTCCGGTGGAGGTTTTCTCGTACACAAAGCACCGATATTTCTCCTCGTTGGACGTTGCGTGGTGGTGTGATACTAATCCGACCAAATACCTCGAATTACCATCTTTCCACGTAGCCAAACAAGTTAATTCCTCCACAGTGCTCTCCGTGCCCGCCACGTCTGGGCAGGCCTGGAAGCTCAGCAGCAGACGACTGTCCTCTGTGCAGCTCTCGATGTTGGACACCGGACTGCGGCACTCGCCGTGACCCCGATTGTAGGTGAACGTAAAGGGTCCTGTGGACACGAAGAAAGAGGATGACAACCCGGTGGAATGGAGGCGCATTTCTACAGGGAATATTGAGCAAAACTGGGACTCACCTTTGAGGGGACACTTGACGGGCTCGGCGTTCTCCTTGAACATACTAAAGAGGAGGGCATCGCCGGGGATTTGCTCACAGAGATTCTGCAAGGTCTCGCGACCTCTGCAATAGCCTGGGGGACATGAAGGGTCGAACGCGAAAGGTGACACAGAAGATTTGGGTTGGAGTTGGGAGAAAGAAAAATTTTCAAATTAACACATCAAATATCCTCAGCTAGTTGAGATGATTTTCACACAAAAAATGAAACTCAAAGACACATTACAGATAATATAGAAATGAAATATAAAGAATAGTTGTAAGAGAACAGAAAGAGTGATGAAAGAATAAAGTAGGTGAAAAGTCATATTCTCAATGTGTAAGATTGTGAAAAAAAAACATTTTTCTGTTATTATTATATAATTTGCAGCGTGTCAGAGAGCAAAAGAAGTGGTATTACTCAGAAATTCTTTCAAACATCACTCGTGCATGTTTCCTTCTAAATTCTTAATGGGGAGTAATCAAAGGGAGAAACACTGGAACTCTGTGATAGGTTAAATTGAGGGCTATAGCACTTGAATGTTTATTGTCTCAGCAATAAATGTCGCTTGAATAATTGATATAGACACTGAAGCATATGGAAATATTACTCAACAAGACTCCGTCCACTTCACTTTGAGTGTCCGTCACGCAAATTTGTCCTCAGTGGGGCACAATTTTCATCCGATTGACAACATAATTCTGGGAATTTTCTGTTCCACTCTCTCGCAATTATGGGTAATTTTTGGCACACCACCCATAAGAGTTAGAATGCTCAGAGGTCAGTTCAATGATACGGAATTTCATGACGAACTTGTGAACTCCGAAGGCTAATAGTCATTCCTTCTCGTAGAACAATATTTTTTTATTACATAACAATTGTGCAGCGTCAAGAAAATCAATCTAATTATTCATCATCCCTCGGGAAAGGCCGCCTAATTGAAGAAATACCTTATACTGTGTTGTCTTTCCATAATTCATGACCAATTAACCTGCCCTCCGAGCTTGGAACGTCAAAAGTGCGTGAACAAAGGCAAGTATTCAAATTAATTTGCTCTCGTCCACCCACAGACCCATGGAGAGAATTGGCTTAATCAAAGGGAAAACAATTAAATATTTATCAGTGAAAATTCCCATCTCTAATTTACCCCAACACAAGACATATCTCTCCTGCACTGTGGTTTCAATCCACAACTCCAGCTCTCGAGCTTCAAGTTCTCCAAAGGCGGTTTTCCACCCCATTTTCTCTATATGGAGAGGTTTCAAAACTCCTTCGACTATTTCCGTATCATTTTCACTACATCTTCCACTCTCATGAGTCCATTTTGCTATATAGTATTTTGACCAGCACTTTCCACAACTGTACGGCAAGACTCGGCCAAACGTTCGGTTTTCATCCTCATAAACTTTTGCTCCGGTATGGAAATTTATCTATGGTCAAGCTGGTAATTTTGGGCCAGTCTCAGATGGGTGGTTGGGGGATGAGATAAAATTTGTACATTTTGTATGTTGCTTCATAATAAATTAACCAATGACGTGAGTTATTTGCTTGCAATAGTTAGACTGTATTGTTCGTGCGGTGAGCTGTTTTATTTCCTATATGGCAAACAGTCTTCACGCAACTTTCTGATATCGCACCAGAAATGTTAAATAAAACTCATTTCTCACTCGGTTGATGTTTGAGGGAAAAATTATAGATGTTTTGTGTAGTATGGTTTACAAGCTAGTAATGCAAATATTTACAAATGTATCACTAATTACGACCATGGTCTGTCTGTGCTCGTCTAAGGCACAGGAGGCTAAATTTTGGGCATTCCCACATGAAAATTCAGTATTTGCGCTCGCCCCATCGTGGGCCAATCATTTCGAAACTGCACGAAATCTACTCTCCGGTAGTCTCATGGAATTTGCTGGCATTTGTGTATTATATCGAGGGAGCATATCAAGATGGATAAATGCTGCATGTAGAATACATAATGGCATTTTCCTTCATAATATTGTAATACACCCGCGACCGGAGGAATGAGTTAAATTCGTTTGCTGGGGTGTATTTTCATCGCAAAGATGGAAATCGTGCTAAATGTGATACAAAATTTAGTGCTTAGAGAAACTCACAGGAAAACTCACTGTCGGAATACTGATTCTCACTTCTTTTCTCTGCTACAAAGTCAAATTGACTACAATTTCCTCCAGCACTTGCTCAATTTTCCCCGAGAGCTTTCGCCACATTGCAGAGAGGCGGCGGGTGAAACAATCAGGGAAAAAGCTCCCACTGAGTGCGTCAATACAGATAATCTCCAGCCCACCTCCAAATAACTCTATTCACTGTCAATTTGTCCATTTAATTCGTTCCATTGAATAAAACCAATATTTATGAATTTATTATATCACACCCACCCACGAGTTTCATTGAAATTTGCCTCATCAGCGAGAGGAAAAGGGGCGGAATTCAATTTCACTTCGTGCGCGCGTGTGTATGTGTGTGCGCCTGAAGTTTTGGGGCGAAAGAGCTTTTTCAGGCATAAACCATCGACAGTCATTTCATGTTTGAAAAGCATTTGCGTATTAAATATTGAATAAAGCGTCGCCCCTCGACATGCTCTGAGTTGGGTAAAATACTGCAGACGATGATTGGGGGTCTGGAATTTGGTGGAGCTTTTCCGTGTTTTGTCTTACAGTGCTTTTTGGCCTCTCCTCACAAATTCTCTTTCGTGAGTTTGCTGGGAGAATTAGCAAAACATCGATGAGGAAGGGGGAATGCCCTGAATTTTCCCCGGTAGTTTTTCTACATGGAAAATTTCTCTTCTGTTTACCTTCCACTTTCCCATCTCGGTGTTTTTCACTTCGGAAATTATAATTTGCTAAATTTCTATGCATTATTAAATATATATACACACACACGTATACCTCAAAGTTCTGGTTTGTTTTTCATCGAAAAAGGTTCATGGTAATAATTATAGGTATATTTTGATGTAGAAATTTCACAAAATATATTATTCAATTTTCTTTTACTCCTTTTACATGAAGAATAATAATGGAGCAATTCCTTTAAGACGAGGCATTAATTTCGTTGTGGAACACCTTCTCCATGCTGCACAATTTTATTTGTCTCAAGTTGCAATTTCTGTGAGAGCTTGTCATGTTACAAGAGAGCATCCCCAGGTTCATGAAAGTTGAACCTTGTGTCGCCTGCAGTTTCCTGCAGGATGAATTGTTGGTGGGGAATGGAAAAGTTGACGAAGAAAATTATGGGTTCAATATGTTAAAATGCGCTTCTGCTGTGGTTTCCCTGTGATTAGAATGTGCCCAGAAACAATGATACCGAGGGTGGATCGGAGCCATTGTGCTCGATACAATGGCAAACACTCCTGCGGTTGCGGTGGTTTTGATGGCGATAAAGGGAATTGTGGAGATGCGGAAAAATTGTGCCAAAGTCAAAGTGGTTTTTGCCACGAATCTCACAAGGAGCCTGACGTTGTAAGGAGTTTCGGTGGTGGCATTAGTGGGGCAGGAGACAAGAATAATTGAACTGTTAAGTGGGAGTGTACACAAATTTGAATAATTTATTGAATTGACTAAGGGCCTTCAGTGTGTGTGTGTGTGTGTGTGTGTGTGTGTGTGTGTGTGAATCAAAGCGTACTATTCAAGTGTGAGATTTAGATTGTGGTTTTAGATGATGTTTGATTAATGGAAGGAATTCAATTCGAAATCCATGACGTTTGTATGGTACAATAGACAGACACACCAACTTGCTCTCCCATTCAAATTTCTCACCCACCCTCACCACGTGATGAGTCTTGATCGCAAATTTAATGCAGCCACGGAGAAAATCTTCATTTCCTACCCATCTTCACCGAAATCGGCGCAGATTCAATGCTTCGCTAATTGTGTACAGCATTTTCAAAAGAGCAACCACCCCTACTCAATGGGTGGGCTAAGAGGATGCCTCAAGAGAGGGTTTAAAATCTTAAAGAGTGCCTTAACCCACACCATTTCAGCAACATCACTCCTCTGTCTCATTTTCCATGTCGTTCAATATTTACACGCTATCGAGAGTCGACCTTTCCGTCTGTTTTCCGTATTCACACCCTGGGGAAATTATTCTGTCTTTCGTCGGGAAATTGCAACACTTTTCCAGACACTCCTTAATTCCTCTAATTACTTTAATTCTTAATATAGAGTCAATGACAGAGCAAGCAACGGTTGCAATACTAAGATTAGTGCACGAGGGAAGATCAATTTGTAAATAACTAAATGTTCCATTTTCATTTTTAATCATTTCTTGCAGGAATTATCCTGGAAATCGATGTGATTCTGCAAAATAACATCGCTCTAATTTAAAGCTCCCATTAAAGATTTCTAGCGCATATTCATTAAAAATTCTAAATGATTTCGAAAGAACTCCTCAATTAGGATGTTTATTTTTCATTCAGTTGAATATCTGCACGTCAGATTTTAATGAGGAGTTCGAAGTGAAAAAAAATCCAGGTCAATTATACCAAAATAAACTCACTCATGTTATAAAATGCTGATATTGCAACGGGTGCAGTTTGCGAAAAATCCACTCTTAAATACTCTCTTTTATCCCACATTCCCGTTCGGTATGTTCTCTTATGGGGTGGAAAAGAGATTTACTGTCTGTGGAGGATCTTCCCTTTTGCGGGAAAATTGCCGCACAAGTTCGCTTTAGCATTTTCATCAAGTGAAATGTCATGAGTATTTCGAGGAAATGTCCTCTTTGAAAGTTTAATTACTCTTGCTTTTCCTTGTTCAATTTCAATGTAAATGATTATCCCCTTTTTCCACTTCTTCCAGCCTCTCTGGGGAGCTGTAGAACCCCTCAGGGGTCTTCTCGCCACTTCGAATGAACTTCGAGGGAAAATTGGCGAGGCAAAATTTGAGACGAAAGGACGCTGCTGTGCATCATATGGCAACTTAATAAGCTTCAGCGCTATTTGGGGAGCAGCAGAAACTCTTCTTGCCACATGAATTCTCCACTTTGACGGAATATATATTTATGTATATACTACAAAGAAGAAAGACATTGTATTTTCACCACCATGGTGCATATGCTGCACAACTGTTGCTACAGTGTCTGGGCAAAAATATTAGCCCTCCATTTGAGTGGTCCATTACATAACTCTAAATTAATCTCTTGAGCTTCTTGTCATGTCGGCGAGTGAGCACTTTACACTTTGGTTTTAGCGACATTTCTTGCTGAGACGATGAAAGAAAAGACAGAAAATGAGGTGAAAATCAGACAAAAGTAATGGTTATATAAAAAATAGTTTAGAATTTTCAGTCACTTTCGATGCTGTCGGTGTCATCTTGTGAAATTTAGCTCCGTTGGTTACTTTTTTTTCATTTGATTTATCATTGTTGGACCGTATTCATAGTCTCTCGGATATTTTAGCTAATAACTTTTCTCCGCGTCATTCAAATGTTTATTCTCTTTCGCATGAGAAACGAAAGATAAGGCGTTGAATGTATAAAAAAAAAATAGAATTTAGAAAAATCAAATTCATTAAAATAACATTTTATTGGCACATATCAATTGCTCAATTCTTTAGCATGCAAATTTCAAACCGATTCTTTCTCATTGTTTCTTTGGTTCACACAAAAGGCAATTATGTGTAGCAGTTTTTGTTTTAATTCACCAAATGTGTTCACGAAAACATGTTCAATTGAAAAGAAAAGTCAGGTTTTTTTATTTGGAAGAAAGTAAAAACAAAGCTGATTTGCAATTGAACATTGTTTGCAGGCAAAAAAAAACAGTAT